CTCCAAGACCTCACGATCAAATACAGGTCCGCACTGAAATACTTGTCGGGAGGATACTTTATAAAACAAGGTAACATTTTTTTTTATTTTTACACACATATTTTGGTTTATCTTCCTTCTACAATCATTTTCTGAAAATTAATGACTCAACTTCAAAGTCACCCTGTATAGGGGAATGTGCATCATATACAGGGTATTTTCAAAGTTGATTCATTCATTTGAACTGCTTGTAGCACTCGTCAAAAGGAGTTGATATACCAAAAATCACCTATGGAGTGCACAATTTCCACAACAATCACGTTTGAAAAGAACTAATTTTCAACATAGATTTTCATTAAATGTTTGGGCTGGCGTGGTAAACAGCATGCTTATTGGACCCTACTTTTTTCAATCTCGACTGACTGGTGAAATTTAGTTTCTTGGACACAATCTCCCACAATTATTAGAAGATATTCCTCTAAATGTGAGACAAAATGTGTGGTTCCTACATAATGGGGCTCCACCACATTTCCCCCCCCCCATTTCTTGGCCTGCTCGCTCTCTGGATTTAACGCCTTGCGATTTTTTTCTGTAGGACTATTTGAAAGAGTTGGTGTATCATGATGGAGCTGTAAATGCTCAGGAAGAACTTCAACAGTCTACTGAAAATGCTTGTGATTTAAATCGTAGACACCAGGAGCTTGTAAAGAGTCGTGGATTCACCTAGCAAGATTTTGCGTTAATCGAACAAATGGGGACAATTTTGAACTGTTTTTGTAAAAATGGTATCCATTTAACTTGATACTGATTTTCCAAACAATTTTCAATAATGTCAACTAACTATCTTAATATGCAATTTTTATACAGGGTGACTTTGAAGTTGAGTCATTAATTTTCAGATAATGATTGTAGAAGGAAGATAAACCAAAATATGTGTGTAAAAATAAAAAAAAAATAAAAAAAAAAATTTACCTTGTTTTATCAAGTATCCTCCCGACAAGTATTTCAGTGCGGACCTGTATTTGATCGTGAGGTCTTGGAGCACCGGCATGCCGTCCCGTGATGTTACCCAATGGTAATCTTTCAATTGTTGCTTTGTTAACTTTGCGCATTTATCCGCACATTGTTTATTTGTTCAGATGTTCTATTAGTTACAGGTCTAAGTGATTTCAAATATGTATTTTTTACGACTATTGTATCTAAAATGTTTTTGAGAAAATAAATTGTTTTAGAAGTAAATAGTTTCGTCATGTTTAGTTTATAAAGGCATATTTTGGTACAAATCTTGAAATAGGCCAACTGAAGTGGAAAGTCCAGTAGCTCCAGACTGTTTTTTGAGCCATTTGGATGTAGTGCTTTTTCGATGAAATAACATAATAGTAGTATTTATAATAATTGTAATTAATTTCTCGATTGATTTGCAAAATAAAATTGCATTTGTATTGAACTACTATATTCACGTCCAATTTATGATTTTAAATTGATTTATTTTACTTACTGATTGAAAGATACCACTTTTAAAGGCTGTTCACATACGTCTGAGTAGTTTAAAAATATGCATATCAATCTTGTATTTTGAGAATTTTGAAAAAACGGAGTTTGGAGACACGTTTTGGCTATTATCCAGAACTAGACTAATAGGATGTAAAAATAAAACGTACATTATATGATTTAAATACGCTGTAGACACTGCCATAATAATTAATAATAAAACGACCACAAAGCATCAAACATCATGAGTTCTTGTTACATTTAGCCGCAGCGGGCGACTTTTTTTTGTCCCTAAACTTGAAAAAGTCGCTCGCCGGGCAGAAATTTCAGAATAATGAGCAGGGCTACTTTGCAAATCTCCATAAAACGTATTTTTCGAACGGATTAAAGTTGGAGCATCGCTAGATCAAGGGTATCGAACTAAAAGGAGACAATGCTGCAAAATAAATCGCTACTTTTCCAAAATTTTCGTTTTTCCTGTGTAGGTTTAGTACTTATCGAGCCGCCCTCGTGCGAAGATGACTCAACAGAAGCTCAGGAAATAGCAGTTCGGCTGTGAGATCTTGCATTGATCACCTAAAGTCATGCTAAGTATTGATATTCCTTGTAACTTTCATAATTTGAAGATTCTATGTCTCCCGAATTTGTATCTGTTAAAGTGCTATTTCATGCAGAGTCAGTGGTAGGAGACCATGGCTATTATAAAACCCTAAGAACCAAACACAAGACTAGTAGAACAGTAATCATACTGAAAATCTGTCACTGTGAAATATTTAAAATTAAAAACAAAAATTAACAACAAGGAGCATATGTATCGCATCTTTAATTGGTTTTTTGTAATATTCTATATTTAGATTTGAGTATTTCACAGTAGTGTTACTGACGAATTATCTGTCCAATAGTCTCCACACAGAATGTCAGCTTTATAGGTCATATTGACAGTCGTTCCTACAATTCTGGGTTGCCTTTATGGCCTCTTTGATTTTAATATACCCTATTTCACGAGTATCCATCACGCTCTGACGTCTGCTGAGGTGCCCAGCTGAGCAACAAGTGACATTTTTTTGGTAGTCTGCAATGTTGGCATTAACGAATCTGGTATAAATGTAGAAAAACCTTTTTGTGGCAATTTTGTATGGAAATGATTTTTTATAATATAAGTGCTGTTAGCAAGTACAAAATGAATCTGTAGCAAATACGGCTGTGTCTACCTGGCGTTGACGGATCCGTCAAGATTATGTGTCCTGTGCCAATATGGGGAATTTTGAGATATTACTAGATAATCAGCTGTCATTCTACCATGATGGATACTCATGGAATAGGGTATAAATCAGCCTGAGATGTCACAAAATTTGAAAAGAAAACATAGTCTCACAATAGCTAACATGGAACAGTAGCCTTTCTGGAGGAGAGAAAAGACTAAAGGGCCAACTTCACCAACAACAGTCCGTTATTCTCCACCTATAGTGTAACAGACCGTCAGATACAGCGAATGAGCTTCAAGTTCCAATCAACAAATTTTAGCAACCAATAGCTATGAAATGTTGAAAACAAAATACTGTCAAAGTATGAGATGACAACTTGTCATTGAAACATCACCAGCTTATTGAATATTAAGAAATTACATATTATAATTCAGTCAAAATTTTAAATGATTTTTGAATTAAATATATGTTTTTATTACTATTGTTAATCTTTCATTCATGTTTATACTATTTTCTTCAATTGATATGTGTTACTGGGTGTTTTTTCCTATAAACCTCTTGCAGATAGCCATTATGCACCTACTTGATGACAGGCTCTACCAAAAGATATTGCTTGTTTCCAAACATTCATTCATTTACTTGCCGTTCATCAGAACCATTATGGCACCTTAGATTGATATTCCGACGAAACCATTCAGGTTTTTTGATATCCATACATCCATAAAGTTGAATATGTTTCGTTGTTCAGGAACTGAACAAACATCCACACTATAAGCACAGCGATTAAGAAATTCCCAAATATATGCCTTAAAGCTACCAGCAAACCTAAAACCTGCAAAAAAAACTACAAATTTGCCATATTTTTCTTTTTTCACGAGTACACATTCTAGGTTATATTTATATTAGACATTATTTGAAAACAGCTGATTATTGCATTTCAAGGAGTGACACATGTGTGGGATCTGTCAACTCTTGGTACCAGTCACAAAACATATACTCTGAAGGTTTAATTCCATGCTATTCAATGACAACACGGTGACTTGTGTGGTTATCAGCGGCCGTTCTGTGAGGGTGCGACAGGGTTGCCAGATTGTGCATTAATATCTCGTTTCACCCTCCTGGTTCCAGTGTCCATAGTAATTGCATTATACATCAGGGAGATGTGGGATTGACATGTCTTACACATATTATCTGTGTTTTAGGATGGAGAGGACATAATGTTTTTATTCCTTTGAAGAAATTCATTAATCCATAAATTAATAAATGATTACCATTATGATGTAAAGGAAGATGAGGAATTGGATGGAATGTATTCAGTATATTGAAGTTGGTAAATTCGAGAGTGCCATGCATTAACAAACGTCCAAATCTGCTGCGAAATTTAACAGCTAGAAAATCGGCCTATTATTTGCCGCATTCCCATTTGCTGAGGGGGATAACAGATTGTTAAATGTAAACCTATAACATATATCAAAATACATGAAAGTTGTCCTGTTTTTTCTGTACAAAAGCATCATGTTGGAATCAAAATGTGGTCTTGTTTATAATACAGTCGAATTTTCACGATTTTGTTCAATACTTCAATAGAAATCACTAATATTTAGAGACCTTTGACAGCTTCTGTCAAATTACATTTCGATAAGGTATTTTTCCATTGGTCCATAATATTAATGTTGGTGAAATTGGTCCTAAGAGAATCAAGACCATAAAGATAATTGTAGGATGCTTACAGACAGGCTAGTTTATTTCTAGATTTTTAATGTTCTGTGTCAGTGCCAGCACTCTCCTATTGTGAAGTTATGTTTTCTTTTTGAATTGTATTAAATTTTAGGCTGAGAAAAACAGATCATATAAATCAAAAGCATGAACAATTTGATGCAAATAGATATTTGTGACATAACCTCAAAAGAGAGTGCTGATATGGAACAGTAGAAAACTATGAAAATCAAGGAGGTCGTAAGGCATCCTACAATTGTAGGAACAACTGACAATACAGCAGTGAATCTCCAGTGAAAGGAAGGAGAAGCGAAACTCCTCTGCCAGCTTGGTTTACAGATTAATCAATTAGAAACCCACACTTTGAAATGATAGAAGAGAAGCAACATGCCATGTTCAATGCATCCAAATGAGAGATGTCAACATGGTTCACTTGCTTCTCTTCAGGGGCATACAATTTTCAAGCCCAACAATGTCAATGTGTCTCCACTGTTGAATATTGCTTGCAAGGAAGGATTGCTATTTGTGCCACTTGGAATGCCATATTATCATGTTATTATTCACCCCAAAAAAAGTGTTAGTAACTGAAACAAACTACACACTATATACCCTGTGCCAGCGAGAGGGAACAAGCAGTGGATTGTCTACGTCCTCAACAACAACAGAAGGAATTGTTTTGCCCACGTCAGAATCCATATCTTAAAAACGCAAAGAAGAAACAGAAATAGTGAATGCAGGACAGCTAAATTGTGTAAACTGATAATGCATCTACAGCCAACTTACAGCGCCTACGTAAAATTGCGTTGTTCTGGTTGCTTTACGCAAACCCTGATATCCATGTTCCAGCTCTGTATAGGACATGACTTAATTGATACATGCCTAACCGTTTTATCCTGAAAAATATTATTTATTTTTAGAAACTATTTTGGGAAGATCTTGCCGTTGCACTTACCTTCAATTGAATCCTTTTTTGAGCAGGTCACGAACTATTGATTATACAAATACTCGAGTGGCCGGCGACTTTATTTTCGCAAACGTCGACGCGGATCATGTGTCGTAATGGTAATCAAATTTCATAGCTGCAATTTTACCACAATAAAACACGAAACATGCACATTTTAATTCACTTTTTAATGAATTTTCCTGTACCACAAATAATAAAAACACCACACACACTGATATGTCAATTTGACACGTGATGTCACAAAACATATACACTGAAGAAAGTTTAATTCCATGCTATTCAATGGTGACACGGTGACTTGTATGGTTGTCAACGGCCATTTTTTGAGGGTGCAATATGGTTGCCAGATTGTGCATTAATATCCCGCAACGTTGCTGACTCTATATATAAATCTGAGATTGGTATACTTTTATATATAGAAATTTGGTGGGTTATGAGAGATCTTATAACAGCATGTGTTATTAACATTTTGCGCTATCTTGACAAGCTGTTATAAGATCGCTCATATCTACTTACTAATCTGGAAAGGTTCAGAAGAAAAACTATACTGCAAATACCTAAATATATAATTTTTATATAAATCTCATACATTTTTCTACAAACAAATCAGTATTAAAAGCATTATGGTCCAGATGTTTACATTCCCCAGCCTTTGATGGCACCTGCTTAAATCAAAAATTAGAAAAAAATTGAATTGTGTCAATATGTTATTGCAATTCACATATTTCTTTTTTATTAGATCAATAATATGATTGTCCATGGGTACCCACAGGAATTTTTCTCGGATGTGCTGATCATCATCAAGAGATAACTGTTACCACAGCCCCCCTGAGGGCACCCATGTTATTGTTCAATAACAATACTTGGCTTTGATTTCATTAAAATTATAGTGAGCGTTACATATCAACCCTACTGCTCTAACAATAGCTGATTTAAAACGAAGTATGAAAACTAACTTGGACAAAAAGCAGTACAAATCATCACTAGTTATTGAGTCATATAAAAACTTGCAAATGTTATGTTCTGCAAATATCTTTCAGAGCTGAGCATTTTAGTTAGATCAAGAGTAATCTCTGAGCTTCTGATAATTCTCAGGACCTCACGGGTTAACAACGGCAGCTGTTGAACTTTTGGTGGTGCTCTACTGTTCAAAGAGTGATGTGGAGATACGATCTTCAAATATTACATTCCTAAAATGAGTAACCGCTGCAGCAGCACAGAGCACAGGAAGAAACCCGCCGGAAATTTAAATCTGACCAATCAGACAACGTCAGTTGTAAATAAGTCACAATTTTTTGAGGTTGCGACATAGTTGTCATATTATGCACCAGCAACATTGCTTTGTTTCCCATTCGCCAATATGAGTTTCACCCCGCTGGAGCTGACTATGAGGTAACAAGAATGACACGGTCAACTGTCAAAACGCATGTCTATCCCGGGGTATCGTATATTTGTTTTGTGAACCGACAGTCATCTAGAACGCCAAAACGGCAATTTTCATTTTTAAAGTGTTGTGCAACGATTTCGGGAAAAATTTCGCTAAGAATAGTCTTCTAGAGTCCAGTAGACTATATTTCAATTGTTGTTTTGCGTGGCAGAATTTCAAGGACAGTGTCTACGGATTTCGTCTTTTTCGATTCGGCAACACCGCAACTATTTGAATGTGATGAATCCGTAACCGTTTAGCACATTGTGTTTGTTTTTAAGTTATTTTTTTAAAATCTCTGTACATTCCATTCATCGTGTCTTTTCATCTTAATAATTCAGGTTCTAGATAAATAACTTTTCGTATAACTGCGCCAGGATGTCTTCTGGAAATATGCAACTTTATGCAGAAGTTTCATCTATGAGATTGTCGTATTTGAGAGCCAGGGATCCCAGTATTATAAATTTCAATGCGCCCCGATTGCCTCTGCCTGTGAATTTAGAGAACAGATATTCCGATGATGATAATAATAAGGTAATTATTTATAAATACGTTATAGATAAGTGATAATGGGTAGGAAGGTATAAGGTTTGAAAATGTGAATTTTCACACTTTTCCATTTTGTCGTCATTCTGTCGTCCCTGAAAAGCATTAGGCCTCATCATATATGAATATTCCGAAGTAAAATCGTACAAAGCACTCGAGAATGTTTTCCATATTGCAGCATTCAGTCTCGAGGTTTGGAAAAATGTCAATTTTAGCATTTTGGAAACATTTTAATTTTCTAGCTACTCCCGTTGGACTCTGCAATATGTGACTACTTTGATGTAAGACTTTCTGATGTGTGTTCCTCAGATATTTCAGTCAAAATTGATTTATTTTCATTATAAAAAACTCGGTTGTACTGAGGCACAAAAACAGTTTATAAAACAGATTCATAAAGACATACCAACTGATGAAAGTATCTTTCAAGAGTGCTTTCCAAAAAATAGAACAAAAATTGTGTTTTTAATGAAAACTGAATATATTAAAGAAACTGGGTTATTTAAAATATATTTGTAGGTATATAAATGTTTTAAAAATAAAAAAAAAATAAACTATAAAGAAGGTTTGTTACATTTAAATATATACAAAGTATGAACATTTGTAAAATACAATATGTATACATATTAACACAAAACAATAAAATAAAGGTCATAAACATTTGTATATTGAGCCATATTAATAAAAGAGAAGCATATCCTTGTAAGCATAAGGTAAAAGTATAAGGTCTTGCTTCGGAGAAAAAGGTAGAAGTATTAGCATATCCTTGTTTTCATATTCATAATGATTACCTTAGACTCGCAAGGATATCCTCCAAGAAGAAATAAAAGGTTCCATATTTTTAATGGATACAGTTTTTTATCAAATTAATAAGCATGTCATCCTCAAGTGATGAGGAAACTATAGAAAATAATGGCAACGACCTGCAGTTCATCGCAGATGAAATTGCCATTGCTCCCATTGTTTTGCAAAAGACACAAGTTCCAAAAATAAAAATGAGAAAGGACGATGCCTTGAAGATGTTGAAAAAATACGAATCAATATTCGGTAAACCATTAGATACTAATAGGCTTATTAAAAAAATCAACAACATGAAATCAAGATTGTAGAAAAAAACAGATTGAAAAAAACTGGTAATAAAGCAATTAAATTATTAGATTGGGAAAGAAAGTTATTGAAAGCTATGGAAGGTGACTGTAATCCTACAATTGGGAAAATTAGAGGTGCCATTCAGGTTGGTAGTGTTCAAGAAGAAGGAAGTAAACTATATACCGAGCGCAGTGAGGAAACAGTTAGTATTACAGCGCCAGCAATTCAGAAGACATTGCCACCAAAAAGAAAATTAGCAACAGAGGAATATGAAACTGAGGAAACCAAAGCGTTAACTACAAAAGAACTGCAACATCAATGCTATTACAGCAGTACCAAACAAGTATTTTAAAACAAGAGTATTATATACTAAGTAACATATAAATCCGAACACCCAGTTTAAATGGTTTTATTTTAATAAAAGTTGGTGAATGTATTTATCTTACTGTAAATAACAAGTGAAAAAATTTTCAGCCTTATCAGTTGGACATTCCGGTTTTTATACTGCTTTTTTTAATTCACTAACGCTCTAAAAATGAATATTTCAGCCGCAGTAGAGAATCAACGTTGGCGGATTTTGGTTCTTGACATCCTTTACGATCGGTTACGATGCCTAGAGTACGGAGACCTGTACGATTTCGTCAACTTAGTGAGTTTAATAGGGGCCGTATAGTGGGACTTCGGGAAGCTGGACTTTCTTTTCGGGCGATTGCAGTTAGAGTGCAAAGAAGTGTAGACACTGTGGTTAGGTGTTGTCAGGCATGGCTTCGAGAAGGCCGTACGCAAAGAGCAAGGGGCACTGGACGCCGCCGTAGAACAACAGACCGTGAAGATCGCCGCCTAAGATTATTGGCGTTAAGGGACCGTTTCTCCACTACCAGGTCCATTGCAAATGAATGGTTTGCAGAACACGGAAGACCTATTGGCATGCGAAGTGTTTACCGACAAATGAGAAGTTTTGGCTTGTTTTCATACCGGCCACACTGGGTCCTCCCTTTAACTCGAGAACACCGACGTAATCGCCTTGAGTGGTGCAGACAACGGTCACTCTGGGATCAGGAATGGAACAGTATTGCCTTTAGTGACGAGTCTCGATTTTGTTTAGGCATGCACGATGGTCGTGCCAGGGTTAGAAGGCGACGTGGTGAAAGGAGGAATCCACAGTTTTTTGTTGAAAGACATGTTCATCACACTGTTGGAGTTATGGTTTGGGGTGCTATAGCTTATGGTTCCAGGTCACCTTTAATCTTCATCAGAGGTAACATGAACGAGCAGCGTTATATCCACGAAGTTCTAGAACCCCATCATTTACCCTATCTTGACACCCTGGCAGATCCAACTTTCCAACAAGATAATGCCCGACCACATGTTGCAAGAGTCACAATAAACTTCTTTCAACATAATGATGTCACATTGTTACCATGGCCACCAAGATCTCCCGACTTATCCCCAATTGAGCACGTGTGGGATATGATGGGTAGGAGATTGCTCAATTTGCAACGTCCCCCTCAGACTCTAGAAGCACTTCGAGAGGAGTTGGTGGTTGCCTGGAATGAGATACCACAGGAGGACATTGACTACCTGATCAGAAGCATGCCTAGGCGCGTTGGAGAATGCGTAGCACATCAGGGTGCATCCACACATTATTAAAGGTCAAAGGGCTCTAAAGCAGTGCAATCATTTTGAAATTTTTATCATTTACTTATTATGCTTCATTAAGTACTTATACAAAATTTTATTAAAATAAAACCATTTAAACTGGGTGTTCGGATTTATATGTCACTCAGTATATTTTCATGCTTAAATTCCGTTTTGCAGTGTTTCTTTGGTTACTTGGCCCCGAGCTGGATTTTTTTGTTTATAGCTCTGCCTTAAACGATTCTTTCATTCCTAGATTGACAAAGAAGCAGAAGAAGAAGAAGAAAGATCAGATCATCTGAGTGTCTTCTTAAGGATAAAGAATGGAGTACCATTCAAAGATTTGTATGAAATTGATGGATGCAATCTTGTCTGCAACTCACCAGAAGGATCTTATTCTACAAGGAACATGAAAGTTGGTAATCAGCTGAAGAAAATATACACATTTACAAAAATATTTGGACCCGAGGATAGACAAGTGGATGTATTCAATTACATGGTTAAGCCTAAAGTTTTGAGATTTATTAACGGACAAAATAGCACCCTCTTCACATATGGAGTGTCAGGATCAGGTAAAAATTAACGTTTCAGCTTCTATAGTATAATAATACACTTGTTTGCTATAAAATGGCTATATTGTTGTTTGTTTGTTGAAGAGTTTGTTTAGCATTAATGCTACAATGTCAGATTTGTACAATTACTCATTTACGCATTTTTTTAATCCATTTTCTGTAATTTTACATTCTTGTCTATTGAAATTGCATCACTGTGCATTTTGAGTATTCATAAAGTGATTTTTTAATTTCACCTTACACATTTTTAAATTCGAACACTAATTTCATATTCAACTTATTAAATTCAAATACTCCCTTTTGAAATACGGATTTGCTAGTTGGAGCCACATCGTGCGGCGGTGCACTATCTTGTTGGAAATGAAAATTCATCACATTTTCAAGCGTGTCTTAAGTTAAACTACTGTCGTCGGTTTCTAATTTCTTCCTAACGTTCCGCTAGCACGAGTGGCAAGCTTCTTCAGAGGTCCTTCCACTTCCGATGCTGGATGTAGACTGACGATTTCTCTTGAGCAGGTTGTATTTATACCGGAGGGTAGGTGACGTGGCTTGTTCCGCTTCGGTTGACTGATAATTTATTTCATTGTTGAATAGAACAGAAAATTCTATAACAAATGAAAAGGTCATAAAAATAGTGGTGACGAGTTGAAAAAGTATAAAAACATAGATCTAAACAAAAAACTCCTCGAAGGTGTAGAAACATTTGTCTATCAAAAAAAGTTTTAGTTTTCATTTGAAAACAGCTATATTTGATTCAGTCCTAATATCATCATTGAGCTTATTAAAAATCTTACATCCCATATACCTGCATGTTTTTTGGCATGCCGTAGTTCGATGTCTGGGCGGGATTAAAAGCAGCTTAGACCTAGTTGGGTATTCATGCTGGTGTTTCGCGCTTATTTTTGAAAACAAACAAAGCCAACTCATAAATGTAAATGCCTATAACAGTCAACATCTTTAGTGTTCCAAAGGATTCTCAACAGGATTGGCGCCAACCGAGGTTATCAGTAATTCTAATGGCATATTTTTGCAGCAGGAGAACTCTTACAGTTAGTGAACTACTTCCCCAATACCATACCGGATATGACAGTTGACAGTGGCATAGTATAAAGTTTTTAAAATTCGTTTACTGCACTGCTTTGCTAAGAATTTCAAGCCATAGCAACTCCTTCGCAATCTATTGCACAAACACTCAACGTGGAACCCCTACGACATCCGACAATCAAGTATCATCCCCAGCATGTTAACTGAATTAGATGATGGAATAGCTCTGTTAGTATGATCAAAAATGTTGAAATCTTGTTCATCTTTTAATGCGAATTTCATAATGCTGGTATTTTCTGTGTTTACTCGGAGGAAGTTATTTTCAGACCATTTAATGATTCTGTTGTATGGTCTCTCAGCCATTTCCGGCAGCTCGGTGATGTTTGGACTGGTAACCAAGATATTGGTGTCATCTGCATATGCCACAACCTTATATTCAGGACCAGCTTCAGATATAAAGTCGGACAAATCGTTAGCATACAACAGAAACAAAAATGGTCCTAGAATTGAACCCTGTGGCACACCGATGTTTGCTTCTGATGTTTCACTTTTGGTACCGTTGACCCAAACGCGTAGTTTTCTTTGTGTAATATACAAAGAATAAAATTTTTGTATCAACTTGCCCCATACTTATCGTTAATTTTTTTGTCTGGATGTAACGCATTGAATAACTGGGCATTAGCTCTTGCAATGCTCCCAATTTGGTAATACAGTTCTGCTATTTCTACCCTTTCTTGAATTGAATAAGATATTATTTAATATTTGAATGAAAGCCAACGTTTTTTTATGACATACGATGACGCTGACTGATGGTAAATATTCTTGCTGGTATCCATGATTATTATTTTTTGCCGTGCATGCCATTCCGAATCTTATTATAAACTCAAATAGCTTCACAATTGAAGATAGGTATAAACTTTATCATACAAAAGTTACTAAAAACTTCATGGAGAATCTAAAAATTAAAAAAGAGGATTTTCATTTCAAAATCTGGAATGCAACGTCCCCTAGACAACAAAATTGACGTGTCCGAGCGTTTTTTCCAAAATATACCTGAAGAGTCACAACGGCAGGTGCGACCTTTTCGTTTTGAACACTTGCCATAATATTTCCAACTTACTAAATAATTTTGTAAAATGTTTAACACTGATCCTTTAAAACCATAGTGATGCAATTTTATCAATGGTTTCAAATACCCTGTTGAAGTCTAAAAATACTGCTACAATATATGCTTTCTCATCTATACTTCAAACTGCGAAAAATTGCAGGTAAGACCTTCACGATCGTCGGGACAGCGGATGAACCAGGAATCATACCAAGAGCTCTGGAGTACATATTCAGAACGATAAAGGGCGTAGGATTTAAAGACGATATTAAACCTTTACCAGCTCAGCAAGTACGTCAAATGTCAAAAGAAGAAGTGCTCAATGCCAGCAGAGACAAGGCAACTTTGCTAAATGCTAGTTTTTTGGATAAACACTTTCATGCAGAGCAGTACAGGTTAGAGCAAGCTATTTTCATTCGTAACACCAAGAATTATTGCAAATGTAATTGAAAGGTTTGATGCAAACACCGGTCCACTCAATTTTCTTCAGAAAATAATTTTTTAGTTGGATTCCGTTCTAAAGGGTTTTCCATTAAGGACTTGACAACTTTCTTTTTGAATAAAACACAAACCAATTGAGATACAAAAGTATATAGACAAATATGAATATTTACCTAAATACCTTTAGAAAACGAATTCATTCTTCATTGCTCCATAAACAAATGCGTTATCAGTAGAAAAACTAAATTCCTTGTTTTTACATTATCTGCAATGAACACAATACAAATCTTTTTTATGAGGGACAAAAATATGTAGACAAATTATTTTCAACATTAGTTTAGTACAGTTTCGTGTCAGAAGAGGATTAGTTTGTGTTCATCAAGTATTGTGGAATAAGTTGAGTGATTTTAAGACCTTGTCGCGTGGTCCAGAAATTTCTTTCGATGTGAAAACTAAGATCATTGAGTTATACAAAGATGGTCAACGTCAAATCGACATTGCCAAAGCGTAAAGCGTTTTCGCAATATTGAACAAATATAAACAAAAAGGTATCTTGGAAGCCTCTAAGAGAAGTGGTCGGCCTAGAAAACTAAATGCTAGATCAGTTAGATTAATAAAAGTAATTTCGTCCAAAGATCCTGGACAAATAAAAGCCGAATTCGAGTCAAAAGGAATTGTCAGTGTTTCTACGAAAGCTATAAGTAGAATATTAAATGATTTGAAGTTATTTGCACATCGCCCGAGGAAGAAGCCGCTAATCTCGAGGAAAAACCGTAAGGACTGATTACAATTTGCACGGTAGCATCTTGATTGGAGCATCTGTGACTGGAAGAGGGTTTGTTTCAGTGACGAATCCAAGTTCAAAATGTTTGGATCAGACGATGTTCATTACGTTAGATGTCCTAGTGGACAAAGATTGAACCGCAAGTACACTTTGCCCACTGTCAAACATGGAGGCGGGTCTGTTATGGTTTGGGGGTGCTTTTCGGGGTTTGAGACCTTTACATAGAATAGATGGCATTATGGATAAGTTTGCATACACAGATATACTAAAGCATGTCATGTTACCCCATATGGAAGACAATATGTACTTAAGATCAATCTTCCAGCAACAAAATGACCCGGAACACACTTCAAATCTCGCAAAGAAATTCTTTCTGGATGAAAAAATACCAGTTCTCAAATGGCCTTCGCAGTGTCCCGATATAAACCCCATTGAAAATCTATGGGAATACTTAGATAAGCAAATACGAGATAAAAATTATTGAAACAAGGATGCACTTTTTGCCGCTTTAGACCAAAAGTGGAAACAGATTGATGAATCTTATATCAAGAAACTTCTACAATCTATGCCGAGACGATGCCAGGCGGTGATTGATAATAATGGTTATGCTACAAACTATTAACTCAAACGTGGTTGGTTTTCTATAATTCAATGAACTTTGCTTCTATTTTCTATAATTTGCTTTGTCTATATACTTTTGTCCTTCATGGTTCCAGTTTTTTTCAATTATTTTTTTATTAAACGGAGTCTAATGGATTTATTTATGTATAAGTGAGTATTATGCTATAACGAATTATGTATACAGGTTGGTGTATTAATAAAACAAGTAAAAGAAGAAATACAGCACCATATTAATTTGTCTATATACTTTTGTCCATTACTGTATCTCGAAAATTTTATTATTGAATTAGAGTATACTCAAAACATTTATGTATGGAATTCGACCTCTATCGAACCCAATTTTCAATGACTCGGCCACAGATTTCGACAGAAACCGCCGCTATCAATATTGGCTCTGAGCTCAACGTCGGCATGGATCCATGATTTAATGTAGCCCCACAAAAAAAGTCTACAGGTGTTAAATCACACGATCTAGGCGGCCATTCGACAGGACTATTTCTCGATATAACACGTTCACCGAATTTTGATTTCAATATGTCCATTGCGTGGCTTGTGGCACAGTCTTGTTGAAACCACATATCACTAATGTCTAGCCCATCCAATTGACCAAAAAGTAACGTTGCAACATGTCTCTCTAGCGATCTCCGTTGACTGTTACGTGACGCTCATTTTCATCAACGAGAAAAAAAAAACGGCCCAATGACACCACCGGTATGCAAACCACGCCATACAGTTATACTGGGTGTTTCAGTTTATTGTTGAATAACTTTAAGATTCGATAGAACTTTTAAAATTAACGCATAAAGTCTATATAAACATGGGTCGAAAAATGCGTGGCTTCCGAAATACAGGGTGTTTAAATTTACTTTCTAAAATAGTTTTTTTTAAATATTTCGAACAATATTTGATGTATAATAGTAAAAATTTGGATACAAGGGTTTTTTGGTACGACAAAACGAACCATGAGCATACTTTTACTGTAGCCCCTAGAGGGCGCTCTCTACTGTACCTGTAGTGTATTAAAATGACCGAAAATTTTTTCTTAGTGCAATTTTTTGCTTTTTGAATAAAAAAACTGATTCTTCGCACTTTTCAACATAAGAAAGCTCTCTTGTGAATTATCGTTATAGTTAGCCGTTTTTGAGATATTTCGATTTTTAAGGTTCGATGCATTTTTAATTATTTATGATAAAATAACGTTAAAAAGTCAGTATCTCGATAATTTTTAGAAGTAGGCTGTGCGTGCAAATATTTTTGAAATCAAAAGCAGAATAAGGTTAAACGTGAATTAGTTGACAGTTAGTTTTGTTGTCTGTTGAAACCTGAAACGTTTTTTTGCAATTGTGAATGCACGAAATTTAGTTTCTTTTACCTGTTTTTTTTGTAAGTTTTATAAAAATGGGGATATTTATTTTGTGTATGGCTTTGTAAATGGAAACGCAGCAGAAGCAGCCAGAGAATACGCACGAAGATTTCCAAACAGACGACAACCAACTCGCTCAGTATTTATAAGAGTGCATCGCCAAATAATTGAAAATGGTTTTGGAAATGTTCGTCAGCGCGGATTTACCCGTATGATTCTGCGTGAGTTTGATAGAGATCCGGCCACAAGTGTTTCTGGTGACTTGGGAATTTCAGCAAGCCATGTTCACCGTGTTCTTAGAAATGACCATAGACGTCCTTACCATTTGCAACCTGTGCAAGGACTACAGCCAGGGGACGGAGAACGAAGAATCACATTTTGTCAGTGGATTCTTGATAGAACTGATAATAATAGGGAGTTTTTAAGTAACGTTTTATGGACCGATGAGTCATGCTTCACTAGACGTGGAGTGGTAAATTTTCATAATCAACATATTTGGTCGCATGAAAATCCGCATGCAGTTCGGGAAAGAAATTTTCAGCATGAATTTAGTGTGAACGTGTGGATTGGTATCTACCGTAATCGACTATTTGGACCCTACCTTTTGCCTGCAAGGTTAAATGCTGCGACCTTCTTGGAATTTTTAAAGGCTGAACATGCAAATATGTGGGATGATGTTATGTTAGATTTAAGAAGATTGGCCTGGTTCCAGCTTGATGGTTGTCCAGCTCATTATTCGAGAATAGTTAGAAACTGGCTGGACGAAAATTATCCAGAAAGATGGATCGGCCGTGGAGGACCAGTCGCCTGGCCTCCACGATCCCCTGACCTAAATCCATTAGATTTCTTTGTGTGGGGATTTCTAAAAGAAAAAGTGTACCAGACTCCCGTAACCACAAGAGATATGCTAATAGGCAGAATCAGGAATGCATGTGATGAAATAAGGCCTTATTTGAATAATGCTATACCACGTTCGATCATTCGTAGATGTGAATTGTGTATTGAACAATTGGGTTTACATTTCGAGCAACTACTTTAGATTTTGTATGTTTGTCCTAACTATCCAATATCATTTTGGTCATTTAATTTGTTAGAAATAATATTGTAAAATTAAACAAATTGATATTCTGTTTTTTGAGTTTATTTGGAGTTAGGAATTATTGCTGTGTTTAAAAACACAATCTAAACGATCATCTTAATTACTTGTAATGCCCAAATCGAAAATGTAAAAAAAATATTATTTTCCCATAAATAATTAAAAATGCATCGAACCTTAAAAATCGAAATATCTCAGAAACGGCTAACTATAACGAAAACTCACAGGACAGCTTTTTTTATGTTGAAAAGTGCGAAGAATCAGTTTTTTTATTCAAAAATCAAAAAATCGCACTAAGAAATTTTTTTCGGTCAGTTTAATACACTACAGGTACAGTAGAGAGCGCCCTCTAGCGGCTACAGTAAAACTATGCCTATGGTTCGTTTTCTCGTACCAAAAAACCCTTGTATACCAATTTTCACTGTTATATATCAACTATTGTTCGAAATATTTAAAAAAAAACTATTTTAGAAAGTAAATTTAAACACCCTGTATTTCGGAAGCCACGCATTTTTCGACCCATGTTTATATAGACTTTATGCATTAATTTTAAAAGTTCTATCGAATCTTAAAGTTATGCAACAATAAACTGAAACACCCCGTATACAGCTATTTTTTGTGGATAAAGTGGTGTTCCTTGAAGACATGAGGGTTTTCACCTGACCAATAACGCATATTCTGTTGGTTGACGAAGCCATTTAGGCAAAAATGCGCCTCGTTACTGAAGATGAATTTGCGATGAAATTTGTCATTTTCGTGAACATTTAGAGCCCAGAAGCAGGCGTTAATGTTTTGCCTTGGCCACCCCGTTCACCGAATTTAAATCGCATCGAACATGTGTGGGGTATGATGGGGAGGAGATTATCCACCTTGCACCATCAGCCGCAGACTCTGCCATAGCTAATCCACGAAGTTTGAGTTGCTTGAAATAATAATAATAAACGTCTTTATTAAATATATATATATATATATATACAGGGTGACTTTGAAGTTGAGTCATTAATTTTCAGATAATGATTGTAGAAGGAAGATAAACCAAAATATGTGTGTAAAAATAAAAAATAAAATTTACCTTGTTTTATAAAGTATCATCCCGACAAGTATTTCAGTGCGGACCTGTATTTGATCGTTAGGTCTTGGAGCACCGTCAAATGATTCACGAACCCGTTGTACTACATTAACAAAGGCACGAGAGGTTGGTTGCACTCGATTGGGAAACCGATCCGCATAAACATGTGCCATTTTTTATTTCGTTTGAGCCACGCAACAGACACCACTATTCACTCACGTGTTACCGACTGACACTGACTGTATACAACTGAATAAAATAATTGTAAAAACATCGTTCCAAATTCTTTCGCTTTTTTGTTTCCGATGCGATGAACCGATACGGCGGATTATATCCGTTGTCGCCAAACACGAGCACATAATATTATTATTGAGACAGGGCGGTACTCAAACTTCCAAAGGGCTATAACTTTGTTACTTTAATTTTACCAGAAAAATGGTAAAGGAAAAAAACATTTCTTTTGATCAGATCTACTCACTGTTAAAATAAATGACTCAACTTCGAAGTATATAAAGTGTAATTATAGTGGCGAAGTTTAGCAATATGCTACTCTAACGCTTAACCACTAAAGTTAAATATTACGTTGTTAATAGCTAACAGAAAAAAAAAATACAAAATATATATAACAAATCACTTATAACCCATACGAGAAGTGGAAAATGAGATATTTTGTGTGCACATACTGCTACTCTAAAAAGGTCTATGAAATATTGAGGGAAAAGTTAATCGTTCAAATAACTCAACTTAACATTGTAGCGGAAATATGGTAAACTCATGGTCTTAAATTTACTGTCCAAAGAACTACATATTGCTGCAACGTTATATGAGAAACTTCGTTGGAACAGAGATGTATGCTTCGGAATTCTGATAACGTGCCTGTCTCTAATAGCTCTATTGTGAATGGTGTTATTAAAAATAATTTTTTCACATAGGTATTCTGGCTTAGAATCAATTAAAATTTTATGGATAAATGTGGAAAAATGTAACTTGACCAACTGGTCAAACTTTAGCCATCTCAACTCTGCATATTTGTGAGAGACATGGTCGAACTTTCTCATGCCGAACATAAAGCGAACACAGCTGTTTTGAATCAATTGGATTCTGTGTTTAGTGATCCGATCCAAACAGGGAAAATATAGAATACTGCAGTAGTTCAAGACAGACACAACGAAGGATTCGCAAAGTTTTTTCCTCATTTTGAAGTTTAGCAGATATCTGTTTGAATAAAGACTGCGTAAACGTTTATAGGTTTTTTGTGTCAGATTTTTTACATGCTCGGTAAATCTTAATTTTGTATCAATTTCTACACCCAATATTTTTGCGCTTATTGTCTATGTTCACATTCAAGAGCGAAATGTGGTGGTACCACGACCAGTCATCGATCATCTCATTTTATCGATGCCTAGATGTATACAGGAGTGTATTCAGCTGCCCAATACGTTATTAATTTTTTTCTTATGGTCAATAAAATTTCGTGAGATGTTATCGGATGTAAGACTACCCCGTTGCCAAAAAATCGAGTTGAAGAAATTATTTTATTTAATTAAAGCTTTGTATACCTCTGCGCTAATATTTTAGGAAGATGCAGCAGAGCCTCATCGATGAACCAGTTGCGCATTTGGAAGTGGCTAGTGATGTATATGTTAGCATTTGGGTATCTTTTGCTGAAATTTATAACGAGTATATCTACGATCTCTTGCAACTTCCACAGAAAAATAAGGAAAAGCCAAAGTTACGTTTAGGTAGGTGCATATATGGTGTCACCCCTATTTATCTTTTGCAACTTGAAATTCGCGATGACTCTAGCAACTCGAAAAATAAATATTATTGCGATCAGGGAACGATCAAACTTTGAATTTGAAAGTTAATAGGGAAACCATGTATTGATTTCAAAACCTAATACTTATTCGACAAATAAAACACTGCTTTATTTGTACCTTATATTTCTTAGATATTTATCATTAAAAGAACATTATTTGCTGAATTATCTTTTTACAGTCAGGATATACCTGCCTGTGTTCTTGCACGCATTTTTTTTTGTTTACGTACATAAAATTTAATTTGACATTGATGAAGCAAAGTTAGAGAGTATTTTGAAAAAATGAACTTTCATTTTATTGAACTCGTATACAGGGTGACCTGTAATGTCACGTATTCCTGTTAAGGGGTGATAGATTAGGTCAACAGCAATCGATTTTGTCCTATAATGTCCTATCCAGAAGTTAACCGTTTTTGAGTTATTTGAATTTCATTTTTTATTCCGATCTCAGATGGTTAAAATTGAAATACAAAAAAACTGCATGCTTGATTTTGAGTTTTTTGTTATCGTCGCATAGCAGACATTCCAATAGTTCATAATAAGTAATAAAATGTTGAAAAGCTGCAAACGCTTTTTAAATGTATTATTTTCTTATTTTTTTACTAACTTATTCGATAAAAAATGCAATTTTCTGTAAAAAATCTCGTAGTAATGAAATGTGCAAATTATGTAAATAATATCTCTATCTAACAAGCTTTCATTTGAGGTATTAAGCGTTCAATTATCAGAAGTACATGCAGAGAAACAACAATGACACCCACAGAGGCTGGATTTTTAAGGAATTTGTATTACCTCTGTTTGAACAAGTCATTACTGTCCTCAAAGGACTCGCATGCCATGATTGTTTTATGGCATCGGCTCGACGAGGAAGCGAGCGAGAAGAGCTGACTTAGTGGAGGAGTGAGAGAGAGAGAGCTGTTATTATTCATCATTGTAGTTACGCCATCGCCGCACGCCGAGTGAGAATTAGGTTTAGTTGGTATGCGCATACGTTTTACGCACGATTATTATTTTCGAGTTTCCCAGTTCATTTCGAGTGGTTTCTTTATCATCATGGCAGACGCAGAAGATCCGCCAGGTCCTCGCCATAGCGAGCACGGGCAAACTTTTACAAATGAAGAATACGCAGACATAATGTTCTGTTATGAACTTTGTAACGGCGATTCTGCAGCTGCCCGCCGTGAATATCGGCAACGTTTCCCGAATCGCCGAACACCTCATGTTGCTGTGTTTGACTCTGTGTATCGGCGCATCCGCCATACTGGACGTGTTCAAAGGCAACATAGTGATGCTGGTCGACCCCGAGTCTATCCTCCTGAAGATGAAGAGGAAATCCTTCGTGTGTTTCAGGAAGACCCTACTACGTCTACGCGCATTGTGGCTGCTCATTTGGGTATATCACAATACAAAGTATGGTTTACTGTGCATACTGCAAGATTATACCCTTATCACTACATGCCTGTGCATGTGATTGAATAGGGCGATCCTGCAAGACGATTAGATTTCTGCAGGTACATGTTACATGCAGATGCAGAAGATTCAGACTATTTTAAGAAAATTCTATGGACCGATGAATCGAAGTTTGATAAGGACGGGATCACTAACTACCATAATGCTCATTACTGGGCTGATAAAGAAGCTTTAAACCCCCGAAAAATAAGACCGACGGGGTCTCAGAGCCGGTTTTCAGTCAATGTGTGGATGGGAATCATTGATGAATATTTAATTGGACCTCATTTTCTGCCCGCCAATTTAAATGGAGAAGTGTATGAAGAGTTCTTGAAAAATCACTTGTTTCCATTAATGGAAGACGTCCCATTGGCGACGAGACAAAATATGTGGTTCCAGCACGACGGCTGTCCCGCACACTACAGTAGATTAGTACGGGCGTATTTAGACTGTAAATTTCCAAATCAATGGATTGGCAGATTTGGGCCCATTGCCTGGCCAGCAAGAAGCACGGATCTCACACCGATGGATTACTATGTGTGGGGACATATGAAAAGCCTGGTGTACGATGTGTCGCCGGTACCAACGCGCGATGAATTAATTACAAGGATAACACTGGTCAACACTGGTTTTGCCACACGAACTTTGGCAGCTAATTTTGTTTTATCAGTCTACCCTCATTATTACATGACAGCTGTCATATGTCTATTAGCCTCATATTTGTTGTGATACGGTAATACTCATAACTAGTACTACGGCAGTAAATTAACAGAAACGCTTACAAGTAAATCTTTATAAAAATATTTGTTGTTGAATTTGAACACTTTTTTATGATTTATTAACCCTGTGAATATGTCGAGGAAGTGTAATAATGATCCTAACTCTTTTTGTTATATCTGCGGAGAACTAACATTCAAAAAACAACGACGGAATTTTACGAATCTTGTGTTGGAGTGTTATCACCAATGTTTTGGTTTTTCTGTCGCCCATCAAGACAAATCCTGGGCCCCTCATGTCTGTTGCATAACGTGTGTGAAAAATGTAACTGACTGGAAGAAAGGTGCACGTTCTATGCCGTTTGCTGTACCCATGATATGGACTGAACAGCGAGATCACGTTTCAGATTGCTATTTTTGTCTCACAGACATAAAAGGTATAAATTACCACAGTTATATACCCTAACTTATCTTCGGCTATAAGACCAGTCTCTCATTGTAAAAAATTGCCAGAACTAATACCAGTTGCAACTACGTCTGTTGAGAACAATTCACAACCGTCCACTTCAGGTGAATGTGTTGACGAGGACGATGACTTTGAGTTAAAAGGAATTGTAAACGAGCCACATTTGATAACTCAAGGAGACCTAAATGATTTGATTCGGGATTTATATTTGTCAAAAAAGCAGTCAGAACTATTAGGATCACGTCTAAAAGAATGGAATTTGCTACATCATAATACAAAAGTTAGCTATTTTCGAAACCGTGATCAACACTTCAGAACGTATTTTTCTCAGGATGGAGATTATGAAAATGTTGGACATAGATTTTGATCTCTCTCAGTGGCGTTTATTCATTGATTCTTCGAAAGCAAGTCTAAAAGCAGTGTTATTGCATAATGGAAATAAGCTTCCGTCTGTACCTCTGGCCCATGCTGCAAATATGAAAGAAACCTATGAAAATATGAAACTTTTACTTGAAAAAATAAATTACAGTACATATTCCTTCAAAATCTGCGGTGATCTTAAAGTTGTTGCACTATTACTTGGACTTCAGCTGGGTTATACAAAGTTTTGCTGCTTTTTATGTGAATGGGATAGCCGAGACAGAACTAATCACTATATAAAAAAAACATGGCCTACGCGTGCATCGTTAGTTCCTGGGCAAAAAAACGTAAAGTATTTACCCCTTGTACAGCCAAATAATGTGCTTCTACCACCATTGCATATCAAATTAGGATTAATAAAAAATTTTGTGAAGGCAATGGATCGCAATGGGAGTGGATTTTTGTATCTAAAAGAAAAATTCCCTAAAATAAGTGATGCAAAGATAAAAGAGGGTATTTTTGTTGGCCCTCAAATTAGGGAGTTAATAAAAGATTCAAGATTTGAAGGTAACCACAAGAGTGACAGCTACAGAGAGTTGGTTAGCGAGCTATTATTGTCATATTAAGCATTGGGTTGCAACATGTCACTTAAGATCCATTTTTTAGACTCGCACCTGGATTTTTTTCCTGTCAATTTAGGGGCTGTCAGCGACGAGCACGGTGAGAGGTTCCATCAGGACATTTCTAATATGGAAAAGCGGTACCAGGGCAAATGGAGCCCAAATATGTTAGCAAATTACTGCTGGCCAATTAAAAGGGACCAACCAGAAGCTAAATATTCAAGAAAATCGTAGATTATTGTCATTTAAAAAAAATAACTTTTGATTTACGAGATCTGTGTTTTTTCTTAATGTTTTAAATTACTCAATAGAATAAAATCCTTGTCTAGCAAATTTTTTTAACTGTTTATTTTTTCTTACTATCACCAATTAAAGTAAAAAATATCAAAAAAGTCCGTGTGGCACGACAAAGTTAAAATTTTGTTGACCAGTGAATCAGTGCAGCTGACCAAATAAAAAGTCGCTTAACAACTAGAGTTACCAAAAGTGAATTACGTAAGAGAATGCGGGATTGTATTCGTAACAGGCGATTACAATTTGAGCAGAATCTGTAAAATACTAAAGGAAATGTAATTAAATAAAACTGTAATTAAAATAAAAGCCTTTTATTTATCCTACGTAATTATCGTTCGTACAACTTTACTTTACTTTAATTTTATGTCTTTGTACTTGAGTTAATTGTAACTTTTATACCTCAAATGAAAGCTTGTTAGATAGAAATATTATTTACTAATTTGCACATTTCATTACTAGAAGATTTTTTACAGAAAATTGCATTTTTTATCGAATAAGTTAGTAAAAAAATAAGAAAATGATACATTTAATAAGCGTAATTTTAAAACGTTTGTAGCTTTTCAACATTTTATTACTTATTATGAACCATTGGAATGTCCGCTATGCGACGATAACAAAAAACTCATGCAGTTTTTTTGTATTTCAATTTTAACCGTCTGAAATCGGAATGAAAAATAAAAAAAATAAAATTCAAATAACTCAAAAACGGTTAACTTCTGGATAGGACATTATAGGACAAAATCGGTTGCTTTTGACCTAATCTATCACCCCTTAACAGGAATACGTGACATTACAAGTCACCCTGTATACATAACGTGGTATGGTATTATCAGAAACTTGTCGTTCTCTTTTTTAAGGTTGTACGAAATACGGTACCTACATAAAACAGTTGACGTCCATCAACGTGCAGAGTGGCGTCGAGGCCTACCAGATCCTTCAGTTTGGCATAAACAACTTGAAGTATGCGTCGACGGCGTTGAACTGTCACTCCAGCCGTTCGCACAGTATATTCACTATAAAGATGGTGCAGTGGAAGAAAAACAGCGACGTCTGCATCAGTACTATCAATTTTTGTGATCTAGCGGGCAGCGAGAGGCTCAAGAAAACAGGAAACGTTGGCGATCGATTGAAGGAGTCGAATAATATCAATATTTCTTTGCTGGTGCTTGGTGAGTATATCGTATGTACGGATTTTGTTAGTACTGGGTGCGCCGTCTATTACTTTTTTACCTATAAGTTTATGTGTTACCATGTGAGTCAAAAGTCATGTGGTATGCATAAATGAACTGTCAAAGGTATGCTATTCATAGTCATGGATTCGTTTACAACACAACAACGCATTTTGGTTATCCAAACTTATTATGAAAACGGTCGAAATATAAAAAATACTTCGCACTAGTTTTGGCCGACATGGTCGCCCTACTGAGCCTGGAATTCGTTGGATTGTTAATCGTTTTGAGGAAACTGGTTCAGCTGAAGGTCGTAGACCATACCAACATGCTCGACCAGCTCGTACCCGTGAAAACCACCGCAGTGAGTGAAAGTGTGCGGAAGATCCAACCACCTCGACTAGGCACCGTTCGCAACAATTGGGAATTAATGAGATCACTTTACGCCACATCGATTTACACCTGCATCCATACAAAATCCAAATAATACAAGAATTGAAGCCGGAAGACCATCAACAGCGGCGTGTTTTGGTTAATTGGATGCTGGAAAGAGAAGACGGTATTTTCGGCCAAAGTGCTCTTTTCTGATGAGGTTCATTTTCACCTCAATGGGTACGCAAATAAGCAAAGTTGCAGATTCTGGGGGGCTGAAAATCCACACCAATATCATGAACAACCTCTCCATCCTGAAAAAGTGACTATTTGGTGCGGATTATGGGCTGGTGGCATCGTTGAACCATTCCTCTTTCAAGATGCTGAAGAAAAGGCCATTACCGTCAACGGCACGTTAACAGACTTTTTGTGGCCACAATTGGGTCGTATTGGTGCCGACGATCTTTGGTTTTTTCAAGACGGAGCAACGGCTCACACATCTCGCCAAACAATCGCCTGATTGCGCACGAAATTTCAAGATGTCTGTTGGCCCCCGAGATCGTGCGATTTAACACCTCTTGGCTATTTTCTTTGGGGATTTTTTAAAGGAAAAGTGTATGCGAATGGTCCCCGGACAATTCAAGACCTAAAGCGCAATATTCGAACTGAAATTGCGGCCATAGACCCGATTATTCTGGGAAGTCATTGAAAATTTTGATGTTCGTATGTTGGCCTGTAAACGAAGTGTGGTGGTCACATGACTGATGTTATTTTTTTTACATAAATGGCATAAACCAACCTTCATTTATCAATAAAAAAAATCGATTTCACCTCGTAAAAAGCGTATAGATTTTTCACAGTCTTCCGATATAAACCCCATTGAAAATCTATGGGAATACTTAGATAAGCAAATACGAGATAAAAGTTATTCAAACAAGAATGAACTTTTTGCCACTTTAGAGCAAAAGTGGAGACTGATTGATTAATCTTATATCAAGCAACTTCTACAATCTATCCCGAGACGATGCCAGGCGGTGATTGATAATAATGGTTATGCTACAAAATATTAACACAAACATGGTTGGTTTTCCATAATTCAATGAACTTTGCTTCTTTTTTCTATAATTGTTTTGCTTTGTCTATATATGTTTGTCCTTCATAGTTCCAGTTTTTTTCAATTAATTTTTTATTGAAGCGATTCTAATGAATTTATGTTGTATATGTGAGTATTATTAAACAGGTTAAAAAAGAAATACAGCGCAATATTAATGTGTCCATTACTGTAAATACTCAACTTCTCGAGGTTTCTCTAACACTTCTTGTGTTTTGCTTGCATTTTTGTCCTAGCTGAATGACCAGGTCGGTCTGGCTCTCTCTGCCGCTCCAAGAAGATCCTATCTTCATTTATTTTCATCAGCATGTGCAATATCAAAAAGAGTATCGAAGTTCGTAACAAACTCTTGTCGACGTTGTTGAAATATTTCTTGTGTTTTGCTTGAATTTTTTACAAATCTCTCTAAACTTGGTACAAGGTAATTAGTTTCTTAACACACTTGAATAGAAATTCAGTCAGTATACGTACCTATTCCCAGTAAGTAGTCCACTCGCGAATAGTAAGGTTGGTCGAAATTTTCAATGACATTTTGCAACATGGTCGGTTCTATGGCATTTATCTCGGCAATGATGTTGTTTTTGAGTTCTTGGAGGGTGGCTGGTTTGTTGTCGTAGTCTTTGCTTTTCAAATATCCCCATAAAAAGAAGTCCAAGGGAATCAAATCGCACGATCTTGGTGGCCATGGCACATTTCCTCTGCGCGAAATCACGCGATCACCAATCGATGGATATTGACGTTGGTTGTGTGGCATGTTGCACCGTCTTGTTGGAAATAAACATCGCCCATATCCATTCCTTCAAGTTGCGGCAAAAAATAGTCCTCTATCATCACGTGATATCGCTCAGAATTGACGGTAACGGCGTCCCCGGCCGCATTTTCGAAAAAGTAAGGTCCGACGATGCCTTTTGACCACAATGCACACCACACAGTCACTTTTTGAGGATGCATAGGCTGCTCTTGATACTCACGGGGATTTTCGTTCGCCCAGATGCGGCAGTTTTGCTTGTTTACCGTCCCATTCAAAGTGAAATGCGCTTCGTCGCTGAACATGATTTTTGATGAAAAATTGGCATCAATTTGGCGGAGCCAATCTGAGAACGTTCGGCGCGAAAAATGGTCGGCCCGACGCAGCTCTTGCGTCAATTGGATATTGTAGGCGTGTACATTCAAATCTTTGTGGAGAATGCGGAGCAAACTGGTTCTCGAAATGCCCAATTCTTGGGATCGACGCGCTGTTGATTGTTTCGGATCGTCTCTCACACTCTCCTTCACAACAGCAATATTTTCCGGTGTGCGAACGCTCCTTGGCCGGCCAGAGCCTGGCAGATTTGCCATAGAACCTGTTGCCTCGAATTTACGCACCAGACGACCGATGGTTGTTTCGTTTGGGCGACCGAAATATTCACGAAGCGCGCGAAACGTGTTTTTTACTTTTGCACCATTTTTGTAGTGCTCTTGAATAACTTTAATGCGGTCTTCAATCGAATACGACTCCATAGTGATCAATGGTAAACATTCAACTAACAAAATGACATATCGGTGACAGAAAACAAAGATGGCGTCTATGTCAAATTGACGTTTTACTTTCCTGCGTCCCTATTGGACAACCCATTAGAACAAAACTGCTCGTACTTGTCCATTACAGGGAAGTTTTGATCCGGTAATTTGATGTTTTACGTCACCTCTTAAAAATATTCCCCTTTTTAGATTTGCGTAATTCCTTTCTGTTGACTGAACGAAATGTTCCAACGCAACTCGACACGGGTTTTCCTGGTTCTAGGTACATAAAACTTTATTTACAATTGTTTTGACATTGCTCAAGCAAAATTAGAGGGTATGCGTTTGAAAAAAAGAACTTTCCTAACACACTTCTCTCTCTCCTACACATTAGACTGCAGCTGTCAGACGAATTTGGTTCTCAGTGTGTACAAAGACAATTTTTTTAGGTCGATGCATAGAGAATATCCGCGCCGGCCAAAAGATGAATCAAATGAAGAGCAAACCGATCCCCTTCAGGGAATCGAAACTGACGCGGCTCTTCCAGAATGCCTTGATGGGCTTTGAGGACATGAACATAATAATCAACATCAATCCTTCGTTGGGAATGTTCGATGAATCGCAGCACGCGTTGAACTTTGCTGCGATTGCCCAACAGATAATCAGCATCGAGAAACCGATACGGATGGTGAGGAATCGCTTCTCGGAGATGTTGCAGAAACAGGACGGGCCTACGGCCGTCCAGCTACGGTCAGTTTCTGACGAGGAGTTTGACAGGTATTTATATATTTATTTTGGTCGATTCAAGCATTATGGAATATTGCAATTAGGGAGTTTCCTGTAGTCAAAAATACTGTCGGTTTCACATGCATATAATAGGATCATTCTTGATGATTTATGATCAATGGACAGTCTTAAAATGTGTTGATGTGTGTTTTGTGTATCAAATCGTTATTTATATTTATACAATCCAGAGAAAATAGCATCCAGAGTATTTTTTGTTTTTGGAATCCAAATTGGTTATCATTTTGCTTTTCAGAAAGTCTCTCAATCTATACTAAGTGACATATAAATCCGAACACCCAGTTTAAATGGTTTTATTTTAATAAAATTTTGTATAAGTACTTAATGAAGCGTAATAAGTATATGATAAAAAATTCAAAATGTTTGCACTGCTTTAAAGCCCTTTGACTTTTAATAATGTGTGGATGCACCCTGATGTGCTACGCATTCTCCAACGCGCCTAGGCATGCTTCTGATTAGAAGGTCAATGTCCTCCTGTGGTATCTCATTCCAGGCAACCACCAACTCCTCGAAGTGCTTCTAGAGTCTGAGGAGGACGTTGCAAATTGAGCAATCTCCTACCCATCATATCCCACACGTGCTCAATTGGGGATAAGTCGGGAGATCTTGGTGGCCATGGTAACAATGTGACATCATTATGTTGAAAGAAGTCTATTGTGACTCTTGCAACATGTGGTCGGGCATTATCTTGTTGGAAAGTTGGATCTGCCAGGGTGTCAAGATAGGGTAAAAGATGGGGTTCTAGAACTTCGTGGATATAACGCTGCGCGTTCATGTTACGTCTGATGAAGATTAAAGGTGACCTGGAACCATAAGCTATAGCACCCCAAACCATAACTCCAACAGTGTGATGAACATGTCTTTCAACAAAAAACTGTGGATTCCTCCTTTCACCACGTCGCCTTCTAACCCTGGCACGACCATCGTGCATGCCTAAACAAAATCGAGACTCGTCACTAAAGACAATACTGTTCCATTCCTGATCCCAGAGTGACCGTTGTCTGCACCACTCAAGGCGATTACGTCGGTGTTCTCGAGTTAAAGGGAGGACCCAGTGTGGCCGGTATGAAAACAAGCCAAAACTTCTCATTCGTCGGTAAACACTTCGCATGCCAATAGGTCTTCCGTGTTCTGCAAACCATTCATTTGCAATGGACCTGGTAGTGGAGAAACGGTCCCTTAAGGCCAATAATCTTAGGCGGCGATCTTCACGGTCTGTTGTTCTACGGCGGCGTCCAGTGCCCCTTGCTCTTTGCGTACGGCCTTCTCGAAGCCATGCCTGACAACACCTAACCACAGTGTCTACACTTCTTTGCACTCTAACTGCAATTGCCCGAAAAGAAAGTCCAGCTTCCCGAAGCCCCACTATACGGCCCCTATCAAACTCACTAAGTTGACGAAATCGTACAGGTCTCCGTATTCTAGGCATCGTAACCGATCGTAAAGGATGTTAAGAACCAAAATCCGCCAACGTTGATTCTTTACTGCGGCTGAAATATTCATTTTTAGAGCGTTAGTGAATTAAAAAAAAGCAGCATAAAAACCGGAATGTCCAACTGATAAGCTGAAAATTTTTTCACTTGTTATTTACAGTTAACGATACATATATCACCAACTTTTATTAAAATACAACCCATTAACTGGGGTGTTCGGATTTATATGTCACTTAGTATAGTAATAACACTTTCAAGAACTTAGATTATAACGTTGCTAGATCTATAATAAACAGTTTTTATTAAATTTTTTTTACTGTTTTAACATGTATTAACAGTGTTTTTAAACATGTTTTTTTCCAGCTAAATTTTATTTGTTTTAAACAAAAAAATTGTTAAACAAAAAAAAAACATGATTTTAGTAGTGTTTTAAAACATCGTTTATTTTCAACCCTGGTTTATAGATAAGCTAATTGATCATACACTGATTTACTTGACTCGCCGTCTCATTTGCAAAAATGTAGAGTCATTGTAAGTCTCTCATAGGTATTTTTGTTTTATGTCAGGATACAAAATGAACTCCAGCGTATACAAGATCAAAACATCGAGTTACAGTTGCAAATGAACCAGATGCAAGCAGAACACTACGAGGAAATCCAATCGACTGTGGACGAGGCAACTGTTCGATTCCGAAATATTTGGGAAAACAGAATTAAACAAGTGAAGGAAAGGGCCGAATACGATCTACAAGCTCTAAGGCAACAGTATGAAGAGAAAATTCGGGAGATGCAAGAGGATGTCATAGAAATTAGCAGTGATGAAGGTAATACTTTCTTCCATAGCATTTTGTCTATTCAGTGATTGCTTAAGATTTATTTAGTATTATTGCTACAATTACATTCTTTTAAAAAACTACAGCAATTACATAACATAGAGATAGTTAGAAAAAAAAATTGCATCTCTAAGAATTTTCACTGTCCGTGAAATATTCCTTCAATTTTCTTTTAAACATCTTTAAATTACAAGTAGACTACTTAACAAATGTGTAGCGAACAGGGGAGCTTCAATACATTGTTAACATTAAGGTGGGATATCTCGGCTATTTTGCGCAATTTCGAGTTAAAATTTTAATCACTTTCTATTTATCAGTAGATCTGAAAGTATGCTCAAAAGTACAGCACTCCTAGTGGGTGTTGCATTTTTTATGTCTTTTAACATTCATATTGTAGCATAAAGGGTAAATAAATCTACAACAAACAAACAAACAGTGCAATATATTTTTTCAATGTTTCTATTCCAGAACCTGATGAGAGGGATAATATGCTGAAAGACGCCGAAAATTGCGTAAAAGACTTGCAAACTCAAGTGCGTCAGTTGCAAAATGAAAACGAGCTACTTTGCATTCGAATTTTAGAGTTGGAAGAGAAAGAGGCCAAACTAGAGGAACAACTATTAGCGTACCATCAAACTTTGCCACTTCTTGCAGACACTGACATTAGCAATGAAAATAGTGAAGATGAGGGAGGAACATACTAATCGGGATTGATTTGTTGTAATTGTTAAATCTTAGTAAGTTGTTATTATTTATGATATGTATGTACCTTTTATACCAGTGTTTTATTAATTTTAATTAAAAGGATGACGATTAAAGGATGACTTTTGATCAACACACCCTCCGAAGGAAAACAATAAGAAGTGTGTGTTCGTGACATTTTCTTTTTAATCTGCCTTTTAATTTGTTTTTCAAGAAAATTGTACTGTATTTTTTTATGTAGCCCTGGTTGGTGGTGAGAGCAGCTTTATAGCTAATACCGGCCATGTAAATTGACGGCCTATTATTATTATTAAAATCGGCAATCTCTTTGAAAGCCGCGATGTCACCACATGTACATCCACAAGAATAATGTCAAATAGTGGCATGTGTTCTAAACTTTTACTTGCAAAATTCGTTTCTAATATATAGGGTGGCCCAACGAAAAGGTCGCACTCCTATTTGTGACTGCCAGTACATTTTGGGGAAAACGCTCAGACAAGTCAATTTTGATTTCTAGGGGGACGTCATTTCATCTATAGCCGTACAATACAGGGTGTCCGCAAAGTTGGGGTTTTCCTTTACACGACGTGTAGATCTTGAAAACATAAGCAATTTTTCTTAGTATCATATACACCAACGTCTTAAGGGAACCGAGATAAAGGGCTCTGCAACATCAAAAATATCTGAATGCCGTCCTGTAGCCGCGACCTGCCGCGATATCCCCGACTGATACAAGGTCTCAACCCGACGGCAGAACTGGGTCGGGGTCAGTGTGTCAGGTTAGTATGCAACCTTCAACCGACGGTTACGGTAACGCGTGTAGAGGTAAACGAACCCGTATAATCGATTGCGTTTCAAAAAACAACAAGCACTAGAGACGTGGCTAGAGGAGTGCAAGTATCAAAAACTAAAGTGTGGCAAACGCTGCGTGAAGAGGGGCTGTATCCGTTTCACGTCCAACGTGTACAAGCCCTTCAACCTGACGATTTTCCAGCAAGAGTGCGGTTTTGTGAGTGGTTGATGCATCAACATGACAATAATCCGGACTTTTTGAAGTGCATATTGGTGACAGACGAATCTACGTTCACGCGTAATGGGGTGAATAACTTTCGCAACACTCATGTTTGGTCAGCAGAAAATCCGCACGCCATCCATGGGGCACATTTTCAACAAATATTTTCGTTGAATGTTTGGGCTAGCATGGTGAACGGTATGCAATTGATGTAAATAAAAATAATTTCATTCATCAATCACTTTTTATCGAAAAATTAAAGCAACTGTCAATTGTCAGTCGCAATATATAGACAACAGCGTTGCCAGCTGGGTCAGGCAGAATTCTCCAGGACAAGCACAAAAATACTTCCAAAATTACAACTTCTTCAAAACAAATATGATTATCTTTTAGGGCACATTCCACTATTCCGTTTTCTTGCTTTGCGACTATAGGACACAGGTCTTCTAACTTAGAACTTAATTTGACATTGTACTTGTTTTCTATGACATGAGCGCGACCAAAAGGAAAGAAAAAGCTACAGAAACATAAAATTGCTCTTCAGAAGTGGACAGTTTTGTGTGATTGAAAATATAATAAAACCTTCCTAAGATACACAAAGATTTTATTTTTTACCCAAAACAATATATACTAAGTGACATATAAATCCGAACACCCAGTTTAAATGGTTTTATTTTAATAAAATTTTGAATAAGTACTTAATGAAGCATAATAAGTAAATGATAAAAATTTCAAATTTTAAAGCCCTTTGACCTTTAATAATGTGTGGATGCACCCTGATGTGCTACGCATTCGCCAACGCGCTTAGGCATGCTTCTGATCAGGTGGTCAATGTCCTCCTGTGGTATCTCATTCCAGGCAACCACCAACTCCTCTCGAAGTGCTTCTAGAGTCTGAGGAGGATGTTGCAAATTGAGCAATCTCCTACCCATCATATCCCACACGTGCTCAATTGGGGATAAGTCGGGAAATCTTGGTGGCCATGGTAACAATGTGACATCATTATGTTGAAAGAAGTCTATTGTGACTCTTGCAACATGTGGTCGGGCATTATCTTGTTGGAAAGTTGGATCTGCCAGGGTGTCAAGATAGGGTAAAAGATGGGGTTCTAGAACATCGTGGACATAACGCTGCGCGTTCATGTTACCTCTGATGAAGATTAAAGGTGACCTGGAATCATAAGCTATAGCACCCCAAACCATAACTCCAACAATGTGATGAACATGTCTTTCAACAAAAAACTGTGGATTCCTCCTTTCACCACGTCGCCTTCTAACCCTGGCACGACCATCGTGCATGCCTAAACAAAATCGAGACTCGTCACTAAAGACAATACTGTTCCATTCCTGATCCCAGAGTGACCGTTGTATGCACCACTCAAGGCCATTACGTCGGTGTTCTCGAGTTAAAGGGAGGACCCAGTGTGGCCGGTATGAAAACAAGCCAAAACTTCTCATTCGTCGGTAAACACTTCGCATGCCAATAGGTCTTCCGTGTTCTGCAAACCATTCATTTGCAATGGACCTGGTAGTGGAGAAACGGTGCCTTAAGGCCAATAATCTTAGGCGGCGATCTTCACGGTCTGTTGTTCTACGGCGGCGTCCAGTGCCCCTTGCTCTTTGCGTACGGCCTTCTCGAAGCCATGCCTGACAACACCTAACCACAGTCTCTACACTTCTTTGCACTCTAACTGCAATTGCCCGAAAAGAAAGTCCAGCTTCCCGAAGTCCCACTATACGGCCCCTATCAAACTCACTAAGTTGACGAAATCCTACAGGTCTCCGTACTCTAGGCATCGTAACCGATCGTAAAGGATGTCAAGAACCAAAAAGCAGTATAAAAACCGGAATGTCCAACTGATAAGGCTGAACATTTTTTCACTTGTTATTTACAGTAAGATAAATACATTCACCAACTTTTATTAAAATAAAACCATTTAAACTGGGTGTTCGGATTTATATGTCACTTAGTATACTTTCCAAAAATTTCTGGAGCATAACAAGTATCTTCAAAATTTGAGGAAAAACACCTTAGTTTGGCAACCTTGTATAGATGTCTCTAATGTAGTGATGGTCTTTTAAATTCGATATCGAATCTTTTTGGTCGCACCGTTGTCTTGAAGGACCGAAAACGTATGTTTTGATTATTTAATCCAAATGACGCAACTTGGTGTAATCAGGGCCACCAACATAGACCTTATAAATTCCCTAGAGGTTACGTGCAAAGTTTAAAACGACCAGGCACAAGGCAGGTTTTTGTAAATGTAAGTGGATTTTCACAGGTGTTACAAGTATTTCATTTTTGCAAAACATAACAAAGCTTGTAACTTGTAAGTATTCAATGATCAATGAATCGGCTGGTGTTATATGTTCCGTTGTTTAATAACAATATTTGATTTTAGCGTATCCTTGATGCTATGAAAAATAATGCTGATAACCTTCACGAGACTAGACTAGTTAAATTTATCCTAAGATAAACATTCTCTGGAAGATGCCTTCAGGATTTGTATATTCCTTAATTTTAATAGTGGTTTTGATTGTTGCAGACATATTTTGTAAGTACCGATATTATTTCAATAAATTCGGGAATCAGTCATTATTGCTTATCAATCAAAATATAATCTAACAGGTGTAAACATCAGAGGTCAAAATCAAAACAATGCTTGGAGTACCCCAAACAGCACTCAATATACGTCGAACGGTCCTCAATTTAATCAAAAATCAACTACCCCTTGGCCTGCATTGGGACAAAGACCTCAACAACGCAATGCTGCATTATCTAATACCAAAAGAGAGCCTACATGGGTAAGGCCTAATAATGGGACAATATGGGTACGGAATAATCCGTCTGGTCAGAATCAAAATAATAACCAAGCACAAAACGGCCAGAGAATACAAGCAAATCTTGATAGAGGCTTGACTAGTAACTACAATGTGCAGTTTATAAATAATGAAAAGAATACTGGTTTAAATTTACATAGTGATAAAAATTCTGCCCAAAATGCTCTTCTTGATGCTCTTAATGTTGGTAACAGGGGTTTACAACCTGGTCAATCTAGAGCAACTGATGTGGGTCAAGGCACAACACAAATTGCTGGCACTGATTCAAACAAAAAAAACATACTGACTGAACCATCCACAGGGTTTAGAGGACAAGATAATCATGGGGATGATAACGTTGATGCAAAGCAAGCAGATTCTGGTGTTGAAGACTATGAGCTAAGAGAGTTTTCCGAGGAACTCTTGGGCAAAGATGTTAACAATCCAAATAGACATGTTATGATTAATTTGCAAGGAAAAACTACATCTAGATCTTCCAAAGATGAAGCACCATTACCGTAAGTAATACATATGTTCATTTAAATAAAATATTGGATGTCAAATGATATCCCAATATCAATTAAGTGGTATCTTTTTCTTTTAATTTCCAGGCTTCTGAATATCAGCCAGGCTGTTTATGACATGCCTTCAGTTTCCAAACTGGTGACTTTATTTAACAACTACATCTTGGAGACTAACCAGAATGAAGTATCTACGCCACAAGAGAAAATAGAAGAAAACGATCTGCTGGATACAATTTTACCAACACCTGTAATGCAACATACAAGGAATTTCCTCATTAAAAAAGGTACACAAAGTACACACAATTTGTAGCTTGCGTATGTAACTTTGGCAATGACCTCGACTGCGACCTTCAAGTTCATTTCAAAGTCAAACAAATATTTTCATATGAAATCTACCTTTTTTACACTGGAATTGAAAAGAGGAACAAACGTTACAATGTAGTGTCACCTTCACCATGACCTTGAACAAATAGCTCTAGCCAAAAGGTTTGACAACACATTTGTGTGATTTGTAACCTTGATCGTGTCCATCAAGGTCAAGACAAAATTTCAAAAGGAAATTTCTCTTTTTTATACTGGAACTAGAAAAAGCAGAAAAGTGTACGTCAGGATGTAACCTTGACCTCAAAGTCAAGGTCGTGTCAAGCATCAAGGTCAAGTAAAAATTTCAAAAGAAACCTCTCATATTTATACTGCAAATGGAAAAAGAAAACATCCGAATGTAACCTTGATCTCGAATTCAAGGTCGTGACAAGCGTGAATGTTGTTTGAGGCACCAGAGTTGTGAGATTTTTCACCTTGACCAAGGTCAAGTCAAAATTTCAAAAGGAAACCTCTCATTTTTGTACTGGAAATGGAGAAGGCAGAAAAGTTTACGTCCGAATCTAACCTTGACCTCGAAGTCAAGGTCGTGTCAAGTGTGAATGTCGTTTGAGGTCAAGGTTATATTCGAACATATAATTTGAAGGTATCCAATGCAAAACCATGATGATTCGAAAAACGTAAAAACTGGCAACAAGAATGTATTCTCTCTGCTGACCAATGTCTTCCCTTTTGCTGCTTCCTCGAGTTTTCCAATTCTGCCTTTATTTCAGGAAAGCTTGGAAAGGACCCTAAAGAATTCAAAGATTTGATGAGACTGATATGGTTCAATATGTACTCTAGACAGAACGGAAGAATAGGTTCTAGCGGCTTTGAACACATTTTCTTAGCTGAGCTAAAGAATAATCAGGTATCAGGGCTGCACAATTGGTTGTATTTCCACGAGGAGGAAAAGAAGAATAATGCCAATTATCTGGGTTATATGAAAAAGATTGATCTAGGCAATGTAAGTATACCCTTGTTATTGTAAATTTCGAATGTGCAGGGATTAAAGCTGTACATACACCTAAAGTTAGCGATCACAGTAGGACAATGCTGCCCTTGGTAGGGCATTTTTCTGATACAAAAATTAAGAAAATCGTAAATACTATCAAGTACGAAAAACTTGAACGAGAACTTGCTGGCTGCTATTGGAATTTTGGTGACAATATGGAAAAAATATATGACAACATAATAGGAAATATAAAAACTTGTTTAGATCTTACAACTGATAAAAAAGTGATTTGCTCGACAAAAAATACACCCTGGTATAACAAGAATATTAAGGCAGCTCAAAATTTGAGAGACAAACAATACAATAAATGTATATTCACAAAATCAAATGATGATTGGGAGGTATATAAAACTCTTAGGAATAAATGTGTATATGTAATTAGAGAAGAAAAAAGAAAATTCTACGATAAACAAATCGATAATAACAAGTGCGACAGTGTAAAGATGTGGAAGACTTTAAAAAGACTGATCAATTCGAAGCCGCATGATTGTGTAAATCAAGTTCAATTCGAAAACGGTACCGAAACAAATTCTTTGGTGATTGCAAACAAACTAAATGAATATGTTGTGGAAAGTATTGTTGATATTGTAGGTACTGCCAATGCTGCACCTGACTATATAAAAATCAGTTTCTAGGGGGAAATGTTGCATACACTTTCAAAATTTCACAGCGTATCATTGAATTATCTAAGAAAAAAAGTAAACAGTTTAAAATCAAATAACAACTGTGCCGAAATGACTACTAAAAACGTGCTGAAAAACTGTTTCGAAATTTTGGGATATCCTGTATTAAATTGGATCAATTGTTCACTGAGAAGCAGTTCTTTCCCTGAAAATTTGAAATGCTCTACAATAACACCAGTTCCCAAAATAAAAAATTCTAAAAGATGCAGCGATATGAGACCAGTAAATGTGTTACCAGACATTGAAAAATTATTAGAGTCCATAGTGCATGACCAATTAATGCAGTTTATAGAAGAAAACAAAATTTTAGTGGAGGCGCAAGCAGGTTTTCGAAAAAAATATTCCACAGAAACAGCTTTCCAGTTGGTAACTGAGAATTGGAGAAGAGCCATAGACTCAGAAGAAGTTGTCATAGCAGTATTTTTGGATTTGAAAAGGGCATTTGAAACGATTGATAGTGATATTTTGTTAGGTAAATTGAAGGCATATGGTATAACAGGAAGTGTTTTAGATTGGTTTAGAAATTATTTGTCTAAAAGGATGCAAGTTACAAAAGTTAAAGACACTATTTCATCAAAAATTGAAAATTCGTTGGGTGTTCCACAGGGCAGTATCCTGGGACCACTTCTTTTTATTTTATACATAAATGATTTACCTGCCATAGTCAAAAAATGCAAAATTCAAATTTTCGCCGATGACACTATGATTTATATAAGTACTAAAAATATTCAGTCTGGTATCTCTTATATAAATGAAGACTTGAAGCTTGTCTCAAAATGGTTAGCATCTAACAGACTAAAATTAAATGCAAGTAAAACGAAAGCCTTGTTAATCGGAAAAAACAATGTACAAATGTTCAACTGAATATTGATGGTGAAGATATTGAATTCGTAGAAAATTTTAAATACCTGGGAGTTTTTGTTGACTCTCGATTAATTTTTGATATTCATTATGAAAAAGTTATAAATAAGATTAGTAGTAAAGTGGGATATTTATCGAGAGTTTCTGGATGTCTGAGTTCATATAGCAGAAAAATTATCTATAATACCATCATTCTTCCAAATTTCTTGTACTGTTCGACTATTCTATATTTAGCAAATAATTCCATTTTTGAAAGACTGCAAATTTTACAAAATAAGTGCATGAGAATAATACTAAATAAAGATAAATATACTCCAATTAGGCAAATGCTTAGCAAATTAAAATGGCTCAATGTAAAAAGTTTTATCAAATATCTTGTAATGATATTCATTTATAAAGTAAAAAATAATATATTTCCATCAAGTCTAACTAATTTAACATCATCAAATGTCGACCATCATTTACATAATACCAGAAATAAAGATGACTTCCATTTAATGACCAAAAAGTATAACATATGCTACAAATCTGTATTCCATCAAGGGTTGATTGAATATAATAAATTATACTCGGAGATAAAAGACCAGAAAACTTTGACAAAATTTAAAGTAAAATTGAGAAATCACTTGTTAAATCTACAATTATAGGTTGCCCAGCATTTACATCATACACCATATGGCTTGAATTTACTAGTTCTAAGTTGTTTACAATTGTTCTGTTTATGTAGCCAAATGTGCTAAATAAATCTTTCTACTACTACTACTACTACCTTCTACACAGGGCGTTCCACAATTCGTAGTCTCTCGAGCCCTAAGAATGATGTGAAAAGTTCATATGAAAAAGTATCGCGAGGGACAACTACTGCGGAGATTGGCTTCTAATGATACCATTGGAAATTCATCTATCTCACACAATTTCTGAATGTAAAGATTCTTGAATTAAAATAGTGTCGACCACAAATCGTGGACACTCGTACCCAACTAGATGTATTATGAAAATAACGGAAATTTTTAAATTTGGAAAGTCAGATTTTTTTATTATGTAAACTTTGTAGCAGCCCGTTAAGGTTAGTTGTGATTTTATGAGCCTAGCGATTTTCGGTTGTTAAAAGATATTGATCAAAGAATTCATAACAAATTTTGCGTAAAAAATGAAATTAGTTCTAGCAAAGAGTGTGAAGTGTGAAAACGAGAATTTAGGATGAACGATCGCCGAAACGCAAGCGAAAGTTTCGCGTATGAAAGGCGTGTCAGCAAAATTTGTTCCGAGATTGTTGGTCAGGAGTCACTAAATGAAGTCAACGACGTTGCAGGATTACTGAAATATGACTAATATATAAATATTTTTTCAAACATCGAAAATTCCCGTTATTATAGAGAATAAAATAAACTGAAAATTTTCTCTTTCGTTACAGAAGGGTTCCGTGTTGAAGTGCCACTTCGTCTTCCACAACGTCGACAAACCTGTAGGATCGATGTTCATCGGAACTAGCCCGGAGTTAGAAATGGCACTGTACACTACATGTTTTGTTCTGCGCGCTGACAAAATTTGTCCTCTAAAAATGAACGGAAACCGTTTCGTAATTAGAACGTACACTTACAGGTACAGAGGAAAAAATATGATTGGCAGCGCTTTCCCTGACATCTGAATACGAATTTTCCTCAGCGTGTCTACCAGCGGATTATTTGATATGTTACGTAAATTAAATTGCTGAGACAAAGACTGAACCTCCTGAATGTGTCAACGATAAATAAAATACTCTGAATATCTAAGGTCTCAAATTATAGAAAAAGTTAAAACATCTATAAAATGGTGGCGCTTTCTGTTATACTGGTGCTTATTTTGAATGAACACCGTCTGTATTTTTCAATTTTTGAAATCTTTGCATACTTCTAAATACATTCCATGTATTCCATCCGATACGTAACTCGAACCGTTTTTGAGAAATATCGAATTTTATGTAAAAAATGACAAAGGAAGGTCCATAAACGCCTATCACTTTTACGCATGTTTATTTCTTTTTTTCAAAACTGAATAAAACCCATTGCATGACTCAGAGCATTTTTATTTGTTTTTTATAATGTAGGCACATGCCTAAAGTTTTGTTTTACATAGTTTGCTATATTAACTACTGCACTTGCTCTTTTTATTCGCTCCAACACAGACACGAAATATTGGTAAAGACCACACATAAAAATATCAACCAAGGATCACCGGGAAGATTAACAAAATATACTTTGAAGTTGAGTCATTAATTTATCAGATAATGATTGTAGAAGGAAGATAAACCAAAATATGTGTGTAAAAATAAAAAAAAAATGTTACCTTGTTTTATAAAGTATCCTCCCGACAAGTATTTCAGTGCGGACCTGTATTTGATCGTGAGGTCTTGGAGCACCGGCATGCCCTCCCCTGTGAGGTCTTAAGTCACCTGATTCACGAGCCCGTTGTACTACATTAACAAAGGCACGAGGGGTGGGTTGCACTCAATTGGGAAACCGATCCGCATAAACATGTGCCATTTTTTATTTCGTTTGAGTCACGCAGCAAACACCACTATTCACTCACGCGTTACCGACTGACACATTGACTGAATAAAAACATCGTGATCAGCGTTTCAAATTCTTTCGTTGTTGCCAAACACGAGCACATAATATTATTATTGAGACAGGGCGGTACTCAAACTTCTAAAGGGCTATAACTTTGTTACTTTAATTTTACCACAAAAATGTTAAAGGAAAAAACATTTCTTTTGATCAGATCTACTAACTGTTAAAATAAATGACTCAACTTCGAAGTCAACCTGTTATCGCCACACCTGTTTGCAGCTGCAGATCCCACACGGAAGAGATTGCAGAAAATTATTTCTGGAAATACTTTTTTGACTTCTAATGTCAGAAATTAGGTCAAGCTAAAAAAAGGTTTTTAGGAGATTCCTGAATTTTTAGTTTGAATATGGAGGAAAACTCTAAAAAGGATGGAGCTAGTGAGGGAGTGGGGAGTGTGGTCTCGCTGAGTGAAAAGGGATTTTGTACAGAGGAAGTTTTGAAACTAAAAGATTATACCATTTCGATTGAAGAGAAATTAATAAAAGAATTGTACGAAAAGATAGACCAATTAAACCAAAAAATTGGGAAGATGCAACAGCCGTCACAAGAAGCAATTACAACTTACGCTAATATGGTTAAAGCTTCAGGGCCTTCAACCGTTAATTCGCCTACAACAATGGTAATGGGTTGTCCAATAGGGACGCAGGAAAGTAAACGTCAATTTGACATAGACGCCATCTTTGTTTTCTGTCACCGACATGTCATTTTGTTAGTTGAATGTTTACCATTGATCGCTATGGAGTCGTATTCGATTGAAGACCGCATTAAAGTTATTCAAGAGCACTACAAAAATGGTGCAAAAATAAAAAACACGTTTCGCGCGCTTCGTGAACATTTCGGTCGCAACAACCGCCCAAACGAAACAACTATCGGTCGTCTGGTGCGTAAATTCGAGGCAACAGGTTTTGTGGCAAATCTGCCAGGCTCTGGCCTGCCAAGGAGCGTTCGCACACCGGAAAATATTGCTGTTGTGAAGGAGAGTGTGAGAGACGATCCGAAACAATCAACAACGCGTCGACCCAAGAATTGGGCATTTCGAGAACCAGTTTGCTCCGCATTTTCCACAAGGATTTGAATGTACACGCCTACAAGATCCAATTGACGCAAGAGCTGCGTCGGGCCGACCATTTTTCGCGCCGAACGTTCTCAGATTGGCTCCTTGAACACCGCCAAATTGATGCCAATTTTTCATCAAAAATCATGTTCAGCGGCGAAGCGCATTTCACTTTGAATGGGACGGTAAACAAGCAAAACTGCCGCATCTGGGCGAACTAAAATCCCCGTGAGTATCAAGAGCAGCCGATGCATCCTCAAAAAGTGACTGTGTGGTGTGCATTGTGGTCAAAAGGCATCATCGGACCTTACTTTTTCGAAAATGCGGCCGGGGACGCCGTCACCGTCAATTCTGATCTATATCACGTGATGATAGAGGACTATTTTTTGCCGCAACTTAAAGGAATGGATATGGACGATGTTTATTTCCAACAAGACGGTGCAACATGCCACACAACCAACGTCAATATCCATCGATTGCAGTCCTTCGGTGATCGCGTGATTTCGCGCAGAGGAAATGTGCCATGGCCACCAAGATCGTGCGATTTGACTCCCTTGGACTTCTTTTTATGGGGATATTTGAAAAGCAAAGTCTACGTCAACAAACCAGCTACCCTCCAAGAACTCAAAAACAACATCATTGCCGAGATAAATGCCATAGATCGGACCATGTTGCAAAATGTCATTGAAAATTTCGACCATCGCGTGGACGTCTGTAAATCCAGTCGTGGTGAACATTTGAGCGATATTATTTTTCACACATAAATGGTATAAATGAACCTTCAAAATAAAGTACCCAACTTGATTTGAATATCAATCTTTCTTGTTTTAATATGCGTTTACTTTCCTGCGCCGTTTTGGACAACCCCATAGAATATAAGCAGCAATGCTTACCATTGCAAACACGTACAGCAAAAAAACAATCACCAGTATTAAAACCCACAAATACAGTCATTGTTAAGCCTAATAACCAACAAGAGTGTAATAACACAAAGAAAGACATCGCAAAATTTGTGAATCCTACCAGTTTGAAAATTGCTGTTGAAAAAGTTTATGAATTGAAGGATGGTGGGGTGAAAATCCAATGTAAAACAAAAGATGATAACGCGAAGCTACATAAAGAAATAAAATCAAAAATGCCAGAAACATGTACAGTGAAAACTTCAGAGATAAGTAAAAAACCACAAATCAAAGTTATTGGATTTTGTCAAGAATATGCAGAAGACGAGCTAATGAATACTATAAAATAACAAAATGAATCTTTTCAAGAAAATTCACATATGAGAGTAATTACAGTCAAGAAAATGAAAACTAAATATCAAGCAATTGGTAACTGAGAATTGGAGAAGAGGCATAGACTCAGAAGAAGTTGTCATAGCAGTATTTTTGGATTTAAAGAGGGCATTTGAGAGATATTTTGTTAGGTAAATTGAAGGCATATGGTATAACTGGAAGTGTTTTAGATTGGTTTAGAAATTACTTGTCTAAAAGGATGCAAGTTACAAAAGTTAATGACACTATTTCATCAAAAATTGAAAATACGTTGGGTGTTCCACAGGGCAGTATCCTGGGGCCACTTCTTTTTATTTTATACATAAGATTTATCTGCCATAGTCAAAAAATGCAAAATTCAGATTTTCGCCGATGACACTATGATTTATATAAGTACTAAAAATATTCAGTCTGGTATCTCTTATATAAATGAAGACTTGAAGCTTGTCTCAAAATGGTTAGCATCTAACAGACTAAAATTAAATGCAACTAAAACGAAAGCCTTGTTAATCGAAAAAAAACAATGTACAAATGTTCAACTGAATATTGATGGTGAAGATATTGAAGTCGTAGAAAATTTTAAATACCTGGGGGTTTTTGTTGACTCTCGATTAATTTTTGATATTCATTATGAAAAAGTTATAAATAAGATTAGTAGTAAAGTGGGATATTTATCGAGAGTTTCTGGATGTCTGAGTTCATATAGCAGAAAAATTATCTATAATACCATCATTCTTCCAAATTTCTTGTACTGTTCGACTATTCTATATTTAGCAAATAATTCCATTTTTGAGAGACTGCAAATTTTACAAAATAAGTGCATGAGAATAATACTAAATAAAGATAAATATACTCCAATTAGGCAAATGCTTAGCAAATTAAAATGGCTCAATGTAAAAAATTTTATCAAATATCTTGTAATGATATTCATTTATAAAGTAAAAAATAATATATTTCCATCAAGTCTAACTAATTTAACATCATCAAATGCCGACCATCATTTACATAATACCAGAAATAAAGATGACTTCCATTTAATGACCAAAAAGTATAACATATGCTACAAATCTGTATTCCATCAAGGTTTGATTGAATATAATAAATTATACTCGGAGATAAAAGACCAGAAAACTTTGACAAAATTTAAAGTAAAATTGAGAAATCACTTGTTAAATCTACAATTATAGGTTGCCCAGCATTTACATCATACACCATATGGCTTGAATTTACTAGTTCTAAGTTGTTTACAATTATTCTGTTTATGTCGCCAAATATGCTAAATACATCTTTCTACTACTACTAGTTTTGAAGGTCAGATCAGACAGAATTATTATACTTATAAAATTTATTATTATTATTATCAATCATTTTTTCCGTTTCCGACTTGTCACGTGTATTAATCTAGTAAAATGTATATCTATCTAATAAAAATACAGCTCTAGAATTTTATGTGAATATTCCACTTTTATGAAAAAATTGAGAAGATGGTTACCTTTTTTCTTATCGTTTTCTCTCCTAAAAAAATCTTTGGTTTCCTTGAAAATTCAATTTGTTGCAAAATGAGGTTTCAAGGTCAAAGATTTTTCGGAGAGAAAGAAACATACGACCTCAATATTAGTTTATGAAATTATATATGTATTTATTTATTTATTTATTTATTTCCAACAGGTGAAACCCAATTACAGGAAACGCTGAAAAAAAATAGCAATTAAAGAGACATGGTTCTTGGACTTAAATCTATAGTATCACACATTCTAACTAAGATTGGATGATCTATAACAGTTAATAATCGTTGCACAACTGTCACTGTAAATATCACACGATTCAGTAACACTGTTCATGACGCAGCACATGAGATTATTTGGCGATTTTGTCATAACATTTGTACGGCCAGCTTGACAATAGAATGCCGTTTGTTGTCGACTCCCTAGCCTTGGAACGCGGAAACATATTTTGACAGTCAATTTTATTGTGAATGAGGCCATACAAAAACGATAAAGCAAATATGTTTCGTCTTGTTGACAGTGAATCCAAATTGAAAAACTCTAATAGGGCACTATGGTCACAACCTCTTTCTGGATAAGAACCTGTGCATTTAAGGTGAAAATACTTTAAAGCTTTACGTTGAATGGCCTCAAGGATCACGACAGAATTTTGGTATATAGGAGAGAGTGGCAGCCGACGAGATATTGAGTATATGCTCAGTAAACGTTAGCTTGGTATCAGAAATGACTCCAAGGTCTCTATAACAGGTGCATCTGTCTATAACCTGACCATTGATGTTATAATTATCATAAATTAAATATTTAACTTTTCTTGTATAAGTCATAACTTTACATTTCGAACCATTCAGACTGAGACAGTTTCGTGAACACCATGACGAAACTAGAGCTGAGTCATCTTGCAACATGACGCAATCCTCGACTGTCTTGACTGACGTGCAGATTTTAAGGTCACCAGCGAAAAACAAATGGAAACACTTCAGTTCAAAAGACAAGTCATTGATAAATATCAAAAACAATAACGGACCTAGATTTGACCCTTGAGGTACCCCGGACGTGGCCCGATAGTAACTCGACCTATGACCACCATATTCGACAAATAACCTTCTATCCCTCAAATATGAATTCATGAGCGACAGCATTGCATCAGACATACCCACTGTTTTAAGCTTATCCAAAAGTGCATAATGATCGACTTGATCAAACGTCTTCTGAATATCTGTGTAGATGACATCAACTTGTCCCTGACCGTCCAGTACTTCAGAAATGTACTGAGTAATTAGAGCCAAGTTGGTGACCGTAGATCTGCCTCTCATAAACCCATGCTGATTAATAGAGACTGCACCTCTTACCGAGCAGTAAACCGTTTCATAAGCGATGATCTCAAACAACTTGCTGAAATTGCACAGGATTGCTATTTGGCGATAGTTGGAAATATCTCCACTTTTGTGAATAGGACATATTTTAGAGGTCTTCCAGATATTTGGATATGTCTCTGATTTTAGAATTAGGTTGAATATGGAAGCCAGCGGTTTCGCTAGTATATGAATGCAATCTTTAACGAAAAAACTTGGAATACCATCACATCCAGACGTCATTTTGTTCTTTAATCTTTTCGAAGCCCTAATTACGTTTTCTTCACTTATATTTTTTAAAGAAATGATATCGGTAGAATTATTTGTTGGAGGAGATGGCCCTAGTAGACCAGACGGGATAAAATCTGTTGAAAAGAAGGTAGCAAAACTGTCCACTATATCCTGAGGCGTATCGCAGACATTGCCGTTAAGCGTCATCCTTGGGGGGATTCTAGATTGCTGTTTTTTGATCTGGGCAAATGACCAGAATTTGCTAGGATCATTGACAATGGCATCCTCAACCGATTAAGACGTAAGCGGAGTAGGCAACACTGATCTGGTTCTTAATGAGCTTCCTAAAATTACTGAACTGATCATAAGAAAACTTAGTACCGTCACGTTTCCAGTTCCTTCTTGCTATGTCCTTCTTCTTGATATTAAGTATAATTTCACGTGTGAACCATGGGGGATACGAAAACATTTTATTTTTACATTTAGGAACATGGACCTCAAAGATGTTATCGATAACTGAATACAAGGCGGTACAAGCGACATCAATGTAAATTTAATGTATATACATTGTATAAAAAATCTAATGTATTTATTTCAATATAGATATAAATATACACGAATTCTTCTCTGTGCATCCTATACCCGGCGTGGAAATATTTTCTTGATAACGTTTTCATTATATCAGGTTACTTCATTCTCATTTATCGTCACTACACTTAAGGTCATCAAAACAACTTTTACTAAATGATATAACTATTTACATTTCTAAATTTATGGTAATATGATAATTTTCGCATTATATTCCATCAAATACCTCCAAAAATGAACATTAATAGATGCAGTATATGTTTGAGGTTGGTTAAAGCAAATGTAAATAAGTTCAGGAATTATCACAGTGAACATGTGTTTGGGTTCAAAAGGAAGACGAGGAAAGCATTTCAAGGTGAGGCAATTAAATGATATAATATAATAGATTCTGTAATATACCACCCAAGAACTTTGCTATTTTTTAAAGATAAAAGCTACATATGACGCTGAATTTTGTGCTAGGATATCGGCTATGTATAAATGCAAAGAAAATTTGATGTAGGAAACAGAAAACTGCTGAAGAAACTTTTTTAAGAATGATCCAACTTGGGCAAATTCTTTTTGAACTTGTTTTGTTTTTTTACAATGGATATGTAGTATTTGTGTTTGAAAAATTACTACCTATTCGTTAGATAATATACGAGCACATATTGGAATAATAAGACATTATTAATAATGTTATTCATTTTGTTATTGGATATTTTAGTACCAGATGAAGTATACGCGGCACGCTGCAAGGAAAGTAATTTTTACAGACTGGTAACAGCATATAAACAACACGGACACAAGTGTTCTAATATAGACCCGGTTGCATTTACGCAAAACGCAAGGTATTTACAGATTTTAGTAATATACAGGGTGTTGGTATAAAAGACCAAGTACAAAGTTTGGTATGACGGCTGTATGACGTCATTTTTTAGGCAATGACGTTTCCGACCAAAAATGACCGAATAATAACGTCATTTTGGCGTCATCATGTTCACTAGGTATTCTCCAATCTAATCATCTCAATAACACCATTTTAATGTTTGCTTCAAAGTGCAGAGTGACAATTGTAAAATTTTTGCAGCAGTGTCGTTCCCGAATTAGATTTAAAAAGATACGGTCTCAGTATTAATAATGAGGTGACATTCACTGGAATCGTTAATGTCGGAAAACATAGAGGAACTGTTTCATATGCGGAAGAGCAATTAAGGAATATTTATTGTCAGCATATAGCCACCGAATTTTCACACTTAGAGGTAAACGCATTTCGTCGGCGTCTTTTGAAATCCAGGCTGAAGCTATTTTGTTTTTTTAGGATGAGGAGGAGATCGAATGGCTGAGCCAGGAGATTGAGAAATTGCCTAGGCAGGCGATAGACAACGACACCAAACTTCAAATCCTGACCGATCTACTGAAATCTGAATGTTTTGATCAATTTTTAGGGATAAAATTTGGCAGCCTTAAGAGATATGGTGCCGAAGGGGCGGAAGGCATGTTTCCATTTTTCACAAATTTTTTCAGGCTTGCAGCTGAAGGTACGTCTTATATTACATATACCAAAAATAAAAATCTAACATTATTCCAGCAGGTATACACAAATTTAACCGATAACCGATTTCAATTGCTATTTTTTGTGACTTTTCTTTCTTTCATGATATACTATTGAAAAAATTACTTATCGTTGTATTGGGACTTTACTCAATTGGTTTGAAACATATTTAAATAATCGAGCCCAAATTGTAAAATGATCAAGACATTATGTTTCAAATAAATTAAATATAAAAGTAGCGGTACCTCAAGGATCACTACTAGGCCCGATCCTATTTTTAGCTTGTATTAACGATTTAATAAATTTAAACATAACTGGTAAATTCATAGTTTTGCTGACGATATCACGTACTTTGGAAAGACACAGATATATACAGGGTGTCCAAATAGTGCTCAATATCTTCGTTACTATTAGAGAAAAGAGTTGAATATAAAAGTCTTAGACAGAGCTAAAGGCTACAACCTAAAATTATTCTAGCTATACAGGGTGGCTCATAAATTAGTGACAATATAAACTTGTATTTTTTAAATGGGGCACCGTGTATTTCTCTTGATTTTTAGAAGCGCATTTTCTTGTGCCCTCTTATCGTTTCCGAGACCGTTGAGAGTAGAATTTATATTATATATTCTTTTTCCAGATAACATTGAGCAAATTGTGTTAGCGATGCCGCACAGGGGACGCCTCAATCTTTTAACTGGCATTTTAAATTTTTCACCTGCTCGAATGTTTTCTAAAATAAAAGGAAATAGTGATTTTCCTGACAAATACAAAGCAAGCGGAGATGTCTTGAGTCACCTCAGTAAGTATCAAAATTATGTATGTTATAGGTATTCTCTTAGTAACTACGCTGTCTGGCTCTGAACTTGTTAGGAATTCTGTCAAGGATCCAACGTCTATTTACGCGACTGGTTTGTTTCCAATAACTTTATTGAATAAAACTTAACATGGCCAAGCAAACAGCCTAGTGAACATAGTGACGCCATAATATCGACATTTTTAGAGCACTACTGACGTACGCCGACCAATAAAAATGACCTAGACATGACGTGATTATAACGGTTTAATGTCACACCCAATTGACGTCATTATATACTAAGTGACATATAAATCCGAACAACCAGTTTAAATGGTTTTATTTTAATAAAATTTTGTATAAGTACTTAATGAAGCATAATAAGTAAATGATAAAAATTTCAAAAAGATTGCACTGCTTTAAAGCCCTTTGACCTTTAATAATGTGTGGATGCACCCTGATGTGCTACGCATTCTCCAACGCGCCTAGGCATGCTTCTGATCAGAAGGTCAATGTCCTTCTGTGGTATCCCATTCCAGGCAACCACCAACTCCTCTCGAAGTGCTTCTAGAGTCTGAGGAGGACGTTGCAAATTGAGCAATCTCCTACCCATCATATCCCACATGTGCTCAATTGGGGATAAGTCGGGAGATCTTGGTGGCCATGGTAACAATGTGACATCATTATGTTGAAAGAAGTCTATTGTGACTCTTGCAACATGTGGTCGGGCATTATATTGTTGGAAAGTTGGCTCTGCCAGGGTGTCAAGATAGGGTAAAAGATGGGGTTCTAGAACTTCGTGGATATAACGCTGCGCGTTCATGTTACTCTGATGAAGATTAAAGGTGACCTGGAACCATAAGCTATAGCACCCCAAACCATAACTCCAACATTGTGATAAACATGTCTTTCAACAAAAAACTGTGGATTCCTCCTTTCACCACGTCGCCTTCTAACCCTGGCACGACCATCGTGCATGCCTAAACAAAATCGAGACTCGTCACTAAAGACAATACTGTTCCATTCCTAATCCCAGAGTGACCGATGTCTGCACCACTCAAGGCGATTACGTCGGTGTTCTCGAGTTAAAGGGAGGACCCAGTGTAGCCGGTATGAAAACAAGCCAAAACTTCTCATTCGTCGGTAAACACTGCGCATGCCAATAGGTCTTCCGTGTTCTGTAAACCATTCATTTGCAATGGACCTGGTAGTGGAGAAACGGTCCCTTAAGGTCAATAATCTTAGGCGGCGATCTTCACGGTCTGTTGTTCTACGGCGGCGTCCAGTGCTCCTTGCTCTTTGCGTACGGCCTTCTCGAAGCCATGCCTGACAACACCTAACCACAGTGTCTACACTTCTTTGCACTCTAACTGCAATTGCCCGAAAAGAAAGTCCAGCTTCCCGAAGTCCCACTATACGGCCCCTATCAAACTCACTAAGTTGACGAAATCGTACAGGTCTCCGTACTCTAGGCATCGTAACCGATCGTAAAGGATGTCAAGAACCAAAATCCGCCAACGTTGATTCTTTACTGCGGCTGAAATATTCATTTTTAGAGCGTTAGTGAACTAAAAAAAAAGCAGTATAAAAACCGGAATGTCCAACTGATAAGGCTGAAAATTTTTTCACTTGTTATTTACAGTAAGATAAATACATTCACCAACTTTTATTAAAATAAAATCATTTAAACTGGGTGTTCGGATTTATAGTTCACTTAGTATATGTCGTATAAAAGACCAAATACAAAGTTGATATGACGTCTGTATGACGTAGATATGACGTCTATCTAATTTTGACACACAAAATCACATCTTTACATATATTTGTTAACAAGTTACGAATGAAGAAAAAATGCACAAAAATGCATTTTTGACAAACAAAAAAATTGATTTTTTGTCATCTCTATACACCCCATGAGATAATCAGATGAAAATGATTTAGAATTCTGTTCGAATCAGGTAGTTGGAAAAAAGGAAATGCGGCCTCAACAATTAGTACTAGTAGATTGTTATTTCCTAAAAAATGCCACGCTAAAATATTGCCAGGTGTTATTTCTTTAAATATTGCAAATTGAGGAACTTGAGCAGCAAGCTTGTTTGAACACTTCATATTTTTTTATTGTCTTCTATTCAGCTAAAACTTGAAGAAATATTCTTATTGATTTTATGGTTCTATTTGTAGTCGCATCGACAGATTTGAAATATGGTGATAAAACTGTCCACCTCTCATTGTTGTACAATCCGTCACATTTGGAGGCTGTGAATCCAGTATCAATGGGAAAAACTAGAGCTAAACAGATGATTACCGGAGATGGTGATTACGGCCAAAGCAATGAGTGGTCTGACAAAGTGATAAATCTTCAGGTATTATTTATTTATTTATTATTGTCTTGCTTTTAGCATATGCAGTGCAGTTATCTAGCATTTATTTTTGGCGCATTCATACCAAACCACCCTGTATGTACGAACAGATTAATGGAACATTGTTATGGTAGGTGCATGGTGATGCAGCTATAGCTGGCCAAGGTATCAATCAAGAGTGCTTAATGTTGAGTAGAGTACCTCATTTCGAAGTTGGAGGATCAGTTCATCTAGTAGTCAACAATCAAGTTGGATTTACTACGCCCGCAGCTAGAGGTCGATCATCTAGATATTGTACAGACGTGGCAAGAATCATTTCAGCACCTGTTATCCACGTCAATGGGGATCTTCCTGAGGTAATGTAACTTTTGGTTTCAGATCAACAAAGGTGAAGAAAACTCCATCTTACATTGTACTTTAGCTTAGAATGTCAAACTCAGCCCTCTTTAGTTTCAAAATTTCCCTTCTTCATAAATATTGTGAAATTATATAATGATAACATTGTTTTTCAGTCTTCAGAAAAGTATTAAAAATGCTCCTCCAGAAAGGCTGTTAAAAAAAAGAAAAATGCGACAGTACATGTTTTTTTATTCCAGGAAGTGTTGAAGGTTAGTAAAGTTGCCTTTGAATACCAGAGGAAATTCCGCAAAGATATTTTCGTAGATATAAACTGCTACAGGCTTTGGGGGCACAATGAGTTGGATGATCCCACATTCACTAATCCAGCCTTATATAACGTCATCCGTTCGAAAAAGTAAGTAAAATCATTATTCAAAACTGAAATCCTGCCAGAGTGTGGTAATACAACTCTACAATAAGTAAAAATTATACCACAGTTTGTGGGGTTCACCCAAAAGTTACCATGACCATAACCTTAACCATGACCATAAAGATCAAGTTAAAATGCCCAAAGGAAACCACTCATTTTTATACTGAAACTGGAAATAGCAGGGAATTTTACGTCCAAATGCGACCCTGACGTCTTTGAGGTCAAGGTCATATAAAGACGTAAATTTTCATGCCTTTTCTATTTCCATTATAAAAATGATGAGTTTTCCTCGAAAATTTTGATTTGTCAAGGTCATGGTCAGTATGAAGGTCAAGGACATGGTCAATATCATTACCAAAGTCATAGTCATACATGTTCATGGACAAAGTTGAGACATGGTTAAGGTCATGGTCAATGTTAAGGCCACGGCCATGATCATGGTCTATGTTAAAGTCATGGGTAAGGTCGTGACCAAGGTCAATGCTTTTTATACCCAGCATGAAGATTATAGGTTTCCTTCGAAAATTTTGACTTGACATTGAATGTCAGGGTCATGGCTAAGCTCACGATCAAGATCAAGGTAATGGTCAAGGACATGTTCAATGTAATGGCCAAGGTCATGGTCATTGTCAAGGTCATGGTTAAGATCAAGATCACGGTCAAGACTATGGTCAAGGTTAAGACAGTGGTCAAGGTCATCTGCATTGTCAAGGTTATGGTCAATGCCATGTGCAAGCTCATGGTCAATAATATTGTCAAGGTCATCTTTCGGCGATCCCCACAAAAGTTCCAAATTGTTTTCGATGACCTGATTTGACCTTGAAATTGTTTTGAAGGCAATATTTAAAAGGTCACGGCTAAGGTGATATTTGGATGTAAAATTTGCTAATCTTTTCAATTCCCTTTGGAAATATTCATTTGACCTTGAAATGACTTTAAAAAAAGGTAGCCTTCGAAATATTTAGGCGAGGAGAGAAGAATGGGAAACAGTATATAGGCACTGGCCTCTTCGATTTTTTTATATTTTCAGGACGGTACCCCAAATGTATGCAGACAAGCTGATCAATGAGGGAATTGTCTCTGAAGATATTTGCAAAAATACAGTAGAAAGTCACCGAGCTTGGTTAAATGATGAGTTGAAGGCCGCGGAAACGTATAAGCCTGAAGTAAGTAATGGTTTCGTTTGGAGATGCCCATAGGCACTGTTTTTAAAAAATTCTTAATTTCCGGATGGAGATCGCATTTGATTTCAGATTATAAAATTTTAGGACTTGCATTTCAAAAACAATTGGGATGGCTATAGTCAAGCCGAAGACGCAGTCACTACTTGGGACACAGGAGTAGATACCGATCTACTCACATTTGTGGGTAGTAAGTCGGTTCAGTATCCAAACGATTTCGTAAGCAACACATCGTAAGTTGACCGTTCTCAAAAAAGTTAACTGAATTTTTTTTAGAACATCCATCCAACGTTACTCAGGACACATATTAAAAATAGGCTCAGTAAGGTATCGGAAGGCGAAAACGTAGACTGGTCAACAGCAGAAGCTCTAGCAATGGGATCGCTGCTTTTTCAAGGTCAGTGTGTTAGTAACAGTAATAGTGGGCCAGCAGGTCATCTTTGACCCTTTTGCTGACGCCTTATGTATAAAAAATGACTTATTAGTTTTTTTCTGGTCGCTTAATGATTAATCTCGTACATGACCAACGGATTCGAATAGTTTAGGAGCCAAGCCCATATGTTTACATTGCGCCAAATTTGCGTGGTTTCAGTGCATACCTTTGACAGATTTGTCTAATAATGCGTACCAACGTGACAGCGTTGTATTAACATAATAATAATACTCACCGTTGAAAACATCTACCTTAATTAGACTTGTGTCGCTCTTTGCAAATTATGTAAGAAGTACCATGTCTTGAAATCGCCTCACACTATAATTATCTGCAAACACTTGTACTTTTAAAAAACAACACCAAAAATACGAATTTAATGACAGAACTGTCAAACAATTGACTTATGTCAAGTGCACTTTGATGCTCACTACAGAATATGAGAATTTGTTTTCATCTAGTTCCCATAGTCTCAAAGCTCATACAACAAGTGCAGAGTTGACAAAAGTTATCTTTTTTTCTGAAAATTCAGAAAATTCTGAAAAATCCGAAGATTCTAAAAATCGTGAAAATTTTCTAAATTTCTGAATTCGGAAAATTTGGAAATTCAGAAAATTAGAATATTCTGTAAATTTTGAAAAATCCGAAAATTTTGGAAATTCAAAAAATTCTCAAAATTCATTATTTTTAGTGTTAAAAGTGTGAGTGTTTGCAGTAATTATGGGATAGTGATAAGCAGTTCTGCATTGTGTATTGTGCGATACAAAAAAATGGAGCTGGCCGCTTTTTGCTTTAAAAAGAAGCCGCCGGATTATTTCATACAAAAAACTCCTTTATTACTGACTACATAACATAACGAAGTATTAATACAAAACATTTCAACTTCCACGTCTTCCTCTTCACTGTCCCGTTAAACTATTTCCCGCCCAATAGCTTGAAATACGGTATCTTAGTACCACTGGTCATTTTTGTATCACATTTTTCAGCTAAAACTCGATCATTGTCTAGCTTTTTTGGTTTATTGGGCAGAGGTGGCAAGTCTGATGGTAACAAAATTCCAAAAACAAGGTTATACCGGTACACTTTACAACGTGAGACTTTTTATATTTGAAAGTACGGCACTTTGATATGGCAAACTTCTCTCTTTTACTGTTCGTAACATTTTTTTTAAAAAACGATTATTGAAGTGCTGGGTGGAGTTGAGGAACATATCCTATCCTGGCAAACTTATACGACTGTGAATTTCTTTGAAGTTTTTTTTTCCAGCCCTTGGTCATATTATAGACTACTTTTTGAAATGTGGAATTTTAGAAACAATATAATACTTTTAGGTGATTTTAATTTAAATTATTATGGTAAAAGCATGAAAATAAGAGAATTGAAAGAAACCATAAACAACTATGGGTTCAAGCAAAAAATTGAAGAGAGTACTAGATTAACATCATTATCAGAGACTTTGTTAGATCTTGTTATTGTAAATTTCGAATGTGCAGGGATTAAAGCTGTACATACACCTAAAGTTAGCGATCACAGTTGGACAATGCTGCCCTTGGTAGGGCATTTTTCTGATAAAAAAATTAAGAAAATCGTAAATACTATTAAGTACGAAAAACTTGAACGAGAACTTGCTGGCTGCTATTGGAATTTTGGTGAGAATATGGAAAAAATATATGACAACATAATAGGAAATATAAAAACTTGTTTAGATCTTGCAACTGATAAAAAAGTGATTTGCTCGACAAAAAATACACCCTGGTATAACAAGAATATTAAGGCAGCTCAAAATTTGAGAGACAAACAATACAATAAATGTATATTCACAAAATCAAATGATGATTGGGAGGTATATAAAACTCTTAGGAATAAATGTGTATATGTAATTAGAGAAGAAAAAAGGAAATTCTACGATAAACAAATCGATAATAACAAATGCGACAGTGTAAAGATGTGGAAGACTTTAAAAAGACTGATCAATTCGAAGCCGCATGATTGTGTAAATCAAGTTCAATTCGAAAACGGTATCGAAACAAATTCTTTGGTGATTGCAAACAAACTAAATGAATATTTTGTGGAAAGTATTGTTGATATTGTGGGTACTGCCAATGCTGCACCTGACTATATGAAAATCAGTTTCCAGGGGGAAATGTTGCATACACTTTCAAAATTTCACAGCGTATCATTGAATTATCTAAGAAAAAAAGTAAACAGTTTAAGATCAAATAACAACTGTGCCGAAATCACTACTAAAAACGTGCTGAAAAACTGTTTCGAAATTTTGGGATATCCTGTATTAAATTGGATCAATTGTTCACTGAGAAGCAGTTCTTTTCCTGAAAATTTGAAATGCTCTACAATAACACCAGTTCCCAAAATAAAAAATTCTAAAAGATGCAGCGATATGAGACCAGTAAATGTGTTACCAGACATTGAGAAATTATTAGAGTCCATAGTGCATGACCAATTAATGCAGTTTATAGAAGAAAACAAAATTTTAGTGGAGGCGCAAGCAGGCTTTCGAAAAAAATATTCCACAGAATCAGCTTTCCAGTTGGTAACTGGAGAAGAGCCATAGACTCAGAAGAAGTTGTCATAGCAGTATTTTTGGATTTGAAGAGGGCATTTGAAACGATTGATAGATATATTTTGTTAGGTAAATTGAAGGCATATGGTATAACAGGAAGTGTTTTAGATTGGTTTAGGAATTATTTGTCTAAAAGGATGCAAGTTACAAAAGTTAATGACACTATTTCATCAAAAATTGAAAATACGTTGGGTGTTCCACAGGGCAGTATCCTGGGACCACTTCTTTTTATTTTACACATAAATGATTTACCTGCCATAGTCAAAAAATGCAAAATTCAGATTTTCGCCGATGACACTATGATTTATATAAGTACTAAAAATATTCAGTCTGGTATCTCTTATATAAATGAAGACTTGAAGCTTGTCTCAAAATGGTTAGCATCCAACAGACTAAAATTAAATGCAAGTAAAACGAAAGCCTTGTTAATCGGAAAAAACAATGTACAAATGTTCAACTGAATATTGATGGCGAAGATATTGAATTCGTAGAAAATTTTAAATACCTGGGGGTTTTTGTTGACTCTCGATTAATTTTTGATATTCATTATGAAAAAGTTATCAATAAGATTAGTAGTAAAGTGGGATATTTATCGAGAGTTTCTGGATGTCTGAGTTCATATAGCAGAAAAATTATCTATAATACCATTATTCTTCCAAATTTCTTGTACTGTTCGACTATTCTATATTTAGCAAATAATTCCATTTTTGAAAGACTGCAAATTTGACAAAATAAGTGCATGAGAATAATACTGAATAAAGATAAATATACTCCAATTAGGCAAATGCTTAGCAAATTAAAATGGCTCAATGAAAAAAATTTTATCAAATATCTTGTAATGATATTCATTTATAAAGTAAAAAATAATATATTTCCATCAAGTCTAACTAATTTAACATCATCAAATGTCGACCATCATTTACATAATACCAGAAATAAAGATGACTTCCATTTAATGACCAAAAAGTATAACATATGCTACAAATCTGTATTCCATCAAGGGTTGATTGAATATAATAAATTATACTCGGAGATAAAAGACCAGAAAACTTTGACAAAATTTAAAGTAAAATTGAGAAATCACTTGTTAAATCTACAATTATAGTAATAATAATAATAATAATAATAATAATAATTTATTCATCCTGTGGATCACAAAGTGATATAGGATAAGTCAATTGAACATTTGTATAAACAGAATTGCCTACATACATAAATAACATTCAAAACATCAAATAAAAACACGAAGTGTATAAACATGAAAACAAATCAAAATACAAATTAACAAATTAAAATTGAACAATAGATTAAAACAATTAAAAAAGACTATCACTCATTAAAAACTCTTCTATAGGTTGCCCAGCATTTACATCATACACCATATGGCTTGAATTTACTAGTTCTAAGTTGTTTACAATTATTCTGTTTATGTAGCCAAATGTGCTAAATAAATCTTTCTACTACTACTTTCTGAAGAAGGTGGAGTTGACCGGATGTGCACCAAACCCTTCAATTAGGGATAATTATTTTGTCGTGTTTCAGGATACAATGTCCGTATTAGTGGACAAGACGTCGGGAGGGGGACGTTTTGTCATAGGCACGTCATGATGGTCGATCAAAAGTCTAACAGCACATATGTACCTTTGAACCACATGCACAAAGACCAAAATGGATTCCTAGAAGTAGCAAACAGTATTCTCTCAGAAGAGGCCGTCTTGGGTTACGAGTATGGTTACAGTGTAGAGAGTCCGAGGAATCTTGTTATGTGGGAGGCGCAGTTTGGGGACTTTTTCAATGGAGCACAAGTCATTTTTGATACTTTTATCACTTCCGGAGAAGGTAATTATCTCTCTTAAATAACTCAGACGTTCTAGAATTGTTTTTGAGCAGCTTTTATTAGACGATAGACGTGTAAAGTAATATAACCTTTTTCAGTCAATTAAAGGTATTTAATAATAATAATAATAATGCCTTTATTAGCTGCAGTGAGGCGAAGTTTAGCCAGAGGCTACTCTTACACTCAACCCCACAACAGGAAAAAAGAATACTTAAACACAAACAAAATAATAACATGCCAAAAAAAAAATACAATTCATAAGAATGACAACATTGATTGCACGAGACAAATGCAGATAGTATTGCGAGAGTTTTAAATTTGAAACAAAAATAGTAGAACGTAGTCAAACAAGAAAAAAAAAATCACACGAACACAAGAAAAACTGAACTAAATGGACTCCAGCAGCTGACTTTTCATCAATTTCTTAAAAGAAACAACCTGTTTGGATCGATAGCCACTGTTGACTGCATTGTAATGCTTGACAGCATTATAGGTGTAACTTCTTTCAAAGACCGAGGTATTGTGGGGAGGCATGTTAAAATTAGCATTAAATCCAAGAGCTCTGGTAACAAAACTACCACGGTGAACTAATTTGCTAGCGAGGTAAGCTGGTCTGTTAGATAATTGAACTTTATGCGTGAAGACGGTCAAAAGATATAAAAATAACTTATCAATTTGCAACCAGTTGAGTTCTTTGATTTTATCTGAGACGCGACTAAACTTGCGCAATCCAAAAATAAACCTACAACAGCTGTTCTGAATTTTCTGGAGTTTCCTTTTGTGGACGTAGTCTAAACATGGGTAATAAAGAACAAGAGAGTAAGAAATGACAGACAACACAAGACTTTCAGCGAGCTTTTTTCGGGTTTTAAAATTCAAGTTGTATCGATTAGAATAGAGGAGTTTGAAACGCATATACGTTACTCTAGATAAGAAAGAGACATGCCGATCGAATCTCATATTTAAATCAAGGGTAACACCGAGATTCTTGGCGTAATCCACAAAAGGGATGAGTGTCTCATCCAAAAAAACACAAATCCTCTGCTTCATTTCACGGTAGGAGTTCTTCGAACAGTACAACATTGCAGTAGTTTTATTAGGATTGATCTTCAAGCAGTGTTTGTTACAGTAATCACCGATGTTAGCCAAATCTAAATTAACTTCAACCTTTGATGGATCGAAACCAAACACTAACTGAGTATCATCTGCATGAGTTTGCATACTACAGTGGACTAAACAGTCTTGTAGATCGATCGTATAAATCAGATATAGTAAGGGACCTAATACTGAGCCCTGAGGAACTCCTGAAGGAACTGGCTCAGAGGAGGAAATTCCCTGATCAGTCTTCACCGCTTGTTGACGATTTAGCAAGTATGACTCAAAGAACCTTAGAACTATATCTGACATTCCATAATGAGATAACTTACTCAGTAGTATCTGGTGATTGACCATATCAAAGGCTTTCGAGAAATCTAACAGTACCAAGACGGTGTTTTTGATTATCTAAATTGTGCATGATGGAATCAGTAAGATGTAATAAAGACGAAGTAGTGCTGTAACCAGCTCTGAAACCGGACTGATGTAGAGGAAATAAGTGGTTTTGTTCGAAAAACTCCACAAGTTGTGAGTAGACAGCTCTTTCGAGTATTTTTGATAGAAAGCATAATAAGGTAATTGGCCTGAGATCCGAATATTGTTCTGGATGATTAGTTTTAGCTATTGGAATAATAATACCATTTTTCCAACCGACAGGAAAGTAACCTGTTTCGAGACAGACATTAATAATGTGAGTTATATGGTCTATGGTATCAGGCAAACATAAGCAAACCATATTTAAAGTTAGACCATCAGAGCCACATGTCGTAGACTTAATGTGAGAGATTATATTGACGATGTCTTGCTGAGTAAGGAGTTTAAAAGCAAACAGAGGTGCATCCGGTGTATGACGTCTATCGCTATAAGAGTTAGAGACACTATCAATCAAATTTGGATCAGCTGCAGCTGTCTGGAAAATTGAAAGAAAATAATTATTTAAAATGTTAGCTCTTTGAGGGCAACAAAATTTTTGTTGGAATTGATATACGCATACCCTCTATTTTTTCCATTTTCTAAAGCAGCAATTGACTCCTACATGAGGTATAAGATCTATCGAAGCAAGAAAGTATAAGGTACCATCTATTGCCAGAATCGCAGTTTATGCTGGATTATTTTAACTCGGCACAGGTTGCACTGGTTCTAGGTACACGAAACTTTATTTACAATTGTTTTGACATCGTTCAAGCAAAATTAGCGGGTATGCGTTTCATTTTTTTGGGACTCCTAACCGTTAGACTTCAAACGAACTGGATAACTTAAATGTTCACTAGTGTATGAGCGTAAAATAACGGTAGATATGAAATGCGAAAGGCTTTCACGGCCATCATCTAATACTATTTGGTTGTTAAGTCGTGGTGAAACATTTTTACTGGACGTTTCGCCAACACGAGTGCTGACATCTTCAGAAGGTGTCTTGTGAGCTACCTGATAATTCTAGCTAATTCTATTCTATAGAAAAATGGCTGTGGCAGAGTGGACTCACGGTACTCTTGCCACATGGATACGATGGCGCTGGCCCAGAACACAGCTCGTCACGAATAGAACGTTTCCTCCAGCTTACTGACTCGAAAGAAACTAAACCTGATGGGGATAATGTTAACATGCAAGTTTGTCAGCCTAGTACACCGGCACAGTATTTCCATTTGCTTAGACGTCAGGTATGGACATCATCACTACGTTTTATCGAATAGGATTAAGATTTATTTGGGATTTAGATAGATTTCAATGAGGCGGATTGGGTCTAGGACAGAGTTCCCCAAACTTTTTTATGTCGTAGACCCCTTGCCATGTTTTTCCGTGTTGGGTAGACCCCCTACTTACCTGATATTGATTTCCTGTAAATTTCTAACTGTAGTGAAGTTTAGTGTTAAAAACTTAAAGTAAAAACACATGTTAATTTATACATTTATTAATTGAATTTAAATTAAAACTACTCAAAATAAAATTTTGTATCTGTTATGTACAATATACGTATTAAATAAACAGGTGTCTGACCAATAAGTGCCCGCAAGTGAAAAATAATAAAAAAAGTTTTTTACTTAAAATAGTACAATAAGCGAGTTCGTTTATTAATTATAACATAAACGTATGTTCTACAATAATTCCACTGTTAGTTTGATTAAATTCCGCTTCTTATACGTTTAAGTTATCTAAAAATAGGCAAAAAATTAACGAATTTTAGTGTATACCTATCCTTGAATTTTCAGAATAATTTAAAAAAAAAATATTTTATATAAAGGGGGATCAAACACCAATAAACGTAAAATAAACTATAAATAAAATAACATAAGCAATAAGTCAATATTTTTAGTGAGAAGGATGAACCTGATGCTTTAATAATAAATTATCAACATTTGGCGTCAATTTTGTAAGGGTTAATCTTAAATCTCCTCGGCTAATGATGTGCAGTCTGTTTCTTTTTTTCGTTAGGAGATTGGTAACAGCGCTGAACCCCCTTTCCACTAGGTATGACGATGGAAAGGAAATTAAAAATTTCCTCGCTATATTCCATAATACGGGATAAGTAACGGGTATGTTGTTTTGCAGCCAGAATTGCTGATATCCGTTTTTAAACTGAACCTTAAGTTCTTCGTTTGTACTTAGTTCAGTCAGTTCCTCTTGTATTATGACATTCGTTTCTTCTATGTCACCATATGGATTAATTATCCACGGTGGTATTACCATAGTCAAAATATCCTCAAACCTAGATTCAAAATCTGAATAGAGGGCATTTAAATGTTGAACGTAAGTTGAAACGTCGTCTTCCTGGCAGCTTGTCTGTGACAAATTGGGGAACTGAGACAATTCGCCCCGTCCAATATTTTGCTTCATTAGTTTAACTCTGGCAAGAAACTCTGATAAGATGGACTTTGTTTTAATCAAATTTTGTAAACAAATGTCTGTTTTTCCTCTTTATTAAATTTTCTTTTAAAATTTTATCTTTAGTATCCAGAAATTCGAAAATAGTCTCAAAAAGTGCAAAAAATCTTGTCAAACATAAGCCTTTCGACAGCCAGCGTACTTCAGTGTGAACGAGTAATTATTGATGAAAGTGTTCGTCATTTTCTTCACACAACTGCGCAAATAACCGCGTATTCAACGCGTTGCTTCGGATTCGGTTTACTGCATCAATGACTAAATGAAGTGATTCATGCAATCTAACACTCAAATTTTTAGCAACTAAATGATGTCGATGGATGACGCAATGTATTGCTAACACCCCTAACATATTTTGTTTTAAATAGCTTATAAATCCACGATAACGTCCAACCATGGCAGGTGCTCCATCTGTAGCTACTGATATTATATTTGATAAAGGAATTGCTTTTTCAATGAAGTAATCCTTCAAAACATGAAATATTGATTCACCTTTAGTGTCGGTCATCAAAGTTCTTGCGAAGAGCAGTTCTTCGTAGATTTCTTGATTCATAATGAAACGAACTTATGCCAATAATAATGCTGCATTATCAGGTAAAGTTGACTCGTCCAGTTGTATAGAGAAATGGGTCGTTTGCAAATAATAACATAAGAAGCTTTCAATATCAGAACTCATTTCATCAATACGTCTTTCAACAGTATTGTTGCTTAAGGGAATTCTTTTAATGATATCAGATGCAGGTTTGTGTAAAACAGTTTTTAAAACCTCTTCAACGGCTGGCAAAATTAACTTCTCTCCGATAGTATGCGGTTTTCCGGATTTTGCTATAAGTAACGAGATATTGTAAGACGCCCGCAAACCATCATCATTTCGTTGTGACGTCGAAGCGAACATTCTGTCCAGTGTAGGTCTCTTCTGAAATTTATCTTTGAGTATTTGAAAGTATTTCAAATCTTTCTCTGTTTTATCAGGGTGGCATCTTCTCAGATGATCTTGCAGTTTAGATGGTTTCGTAGCGTCATTGCCCAAAACTTTGTTGCATAAAAGGCACATAGGCGATTGTTTGTCCGGCAATGATGGAATGAAGCCAAATTTCAAATAATCAACACTGAACTAACTGCATTTCTTTTTAGATTCGGACATGGCATCAGTCATCTGTGGGCAAAATTAAATTATTTAAATAAGACAGAAAATCCAGCAGCTGTATATTAAAAATATTTTTTGATTTTTCCGAAAACATTCCATAATTCGAACATCTTCTTGCAACAATTAGCTCGAATTACGGAGATTGCACTGTAATTATATTACCGATTGCTAAAACTTTCAAAAAGAAACTATCGAGGAGTACTCGTGTAATTTTGCATGATTGAATATTTAACTACTAATAACTAAAGTCATGATTGGCGTAATTTATCTATCTTTGCTAACTACGAGTACAAAACTAAAATTTAATAAAAAATAATGTACTTGCTTGTCTCCAGCACTCTCAAACAAAATAACACTGACTCACTATAATTTGTGTGATATACTATCTGTTTATATTTTTTAAAATATTTTCTTAGCACTTTCCTTTGCAAGGTTCAGGAAACGAATAAACGTATTTATCCCACATTCGTATTTATAGAGCGACGAATTGAACAAGTCAGTGCAAGGTAGCGAAGCTCTGAGACTGCGACTCTAAGGTTTTTACAAGTTCAAAATGTATTGCGACCACAAAGCGAATACCAACATCCTACAACTTACACAATTTTATAAACATATATAATAATTTTTTTACTTCATAGGTACTTTTATAAATAATGTATATGTTTTGATATTATAAGATAGTATGATGTAAGTAAATAGGTACTATCAGTGTATCTGTTGAGATCCACTATCGTGGACCCCCAAATTTTTTTTCGCTGACGTAGACCCCTTGCAGGTTGTCATAGACTCCTAGGGGTCGATATAGACCACTTTGGGAATCAATGGTCTAGGATCATCTATTTTCAATCCTTGATAAGATGACAAGTGGCATTTGCTTTGGTGTGAGCTTGCAGACAGAATTTTTTGTCGATAAAGACAAATGGAAATCTTTTATTTGGAGGATTGGTTCATCATGTGACCAGACTAAAGTCTGATAGTTTATTTAGATGTTAAAAGGCAAACATATCTTTTTCGATATTGAGTGATGTATGGGGTTTGTTTTTCAGATGGTGCGGAATTTTAGGAAACCACTTATCATAATTACCCCTAAGACATTGCTAAGACATCCGAAATGTACGTCAAATTTTATGGAGATGACACCTGGAACTCATTTTAAACCTGTGATAGGTATGTACATCTTTCAATAATGGATGAAGTACGATTTTCAAGCTCATAAATGGAATGAGGGTAGTCGAAAGTAATTTGTTGGAGAAACTGACAGCTGGCATAGTTTGTGTTCTTTTCATATCAAATGGAAGAAATATAAAAATGGGGCTTATTTTCATAATTTTTATTTGGTATACACAATGAATAGCTTGCATTGCTACTGATGTTTAAGCATCTATCGTGAATTTAATAGATATATGCACGAATTAATGAAAGTGGCCTTACTAACTGTCTTGCTGTCTCTTTGTCCGTCACTCAGTCTAAAAAAAATGAAATTTGTAGTAATGGAACTAAAAGATCACCACAGGGCGTAGATTTTCCTGATTTTTTTTGAAGCCTATAATTTGAAAAGTACCCGACTTGGATTTTTTTACAATTTTCTGATACCTATTATGACTTGGGGCCACCAGTATAATTCAAGTAGACGTTTCTTCTTGTCTTTTCATTTTATTCCCAACACGCGCATGATAAAAATGTACTTCTGGAGTAATATTATTAATTTTTTCAGGAGATTCTTCGGTGGAACCTTCAAAGGTGAAGAAAGTACTGCTCACCTCCGGAAAACATTACTATTCCCTGGCGGAAAAACGGGAGAATTTGAAAACGAATGATACTGCTCTTATACGAGTGGAATCATTTTCTCCTTTTCCAACAATCGAACTTCAAACAGAGCTATCCAAATATCCGAACGCAACAAAAGGTGAGTGACTTTAAGGCCATAAAATCAACATATCTGCACCAATCATGTTCCCCAAGCGAATGCAAGATCCGAGAATGTTTTGAGGATCGATCAAAATGAATGCTTTGTAAATGAGATAGCACAAAGTTATTTTTGAAATTTGATGACAGTGTGGATGATTGAGATGCCGTTTTTCGGATTTCCATTGTCTATAAGGTTTTTTTATTCACGACGTTTCCATGGATCTGATTGTTTGTTGAAGATTTATTAAGCATTAATGCAACAATGCCAATTATGTATAATTATTCATTTACACACTTTTTGAATCCATTTTCTGTAATTTTACATTCTTGTCCATTAAAACTACATCTGTATGCATTTTGAGTATTCATGAAGTGTTTTTCTAATTTTGATGGGAATTCACCATGTACTAAGCAATCATCTTCGATCTCCATCATGTGAATTGGTGAACATACTCCTTTCTTGACTACTGGTTTAGTTGCAGCACTTTTTACTGCAAATATTTTCATTCTCATAATTATGAATTGAATTCCTAGCATGATCTCAAATAATTCTGTGGTGCTTTGTCCAAGCATGATCTCCTATCCCAGATGATAATTGAATATCACATAAATGAAATGTCGCGAATATAGAAAAGAAGTTCGAGAAACAACATATCATAGCACAAATTGTCATATCTTATTTCGATAGACCTTATACCCTGAATAGAGGATAGTTCTCAGCTTTCGTTTGATCATGCTGATGAGTTGCCAAAAAGCGCGAAGCAGCTATCCATGGTTTGCCCATTTGAACGAGAGCTCTATTACTAGTTTTTTTTATGGATGCTTTGGTCTAGAATAGACAGGGCATTGGGACATATTTTTCATGCAAATATTTTAATGTCCATATTAATTTCTAATAGAAGTAATTCCTTTTGTGTAGTGCTGTGGTGCCAAGAGGAGCCTAGAAACATGGGAGCATGGACATTTTTCAAACCTCGGTTCGAGAATCTCGTCGGCAAAAAGGTGAGCATCAATTTGAAAGTTACTAAGTCGTCCTTAATGAAACGAATAACGGAACGCGGACAAAAAACAATTTCTACCACATTTATATGATTTTCAGTTCAACTGGACTTTTTGAGTAGCCGATTTAAAATTTTTGGTTAGTTTATTGCCTCTTTGAGAACACTTGAAGGTCATATCACGAACATTTTCAAAAGAAGCTGAGTAGTCGACACCAAAAGCATATTATTTAGCACTTGTTGGTTAGTAAGTCTGAAGCAGAGGTCATTTAGTCACTACGAGGGAATCTCAAGGTTATTTCAAGGACTAATTAAAATAAGTCTGGCACTCGAGACTAGACGTAAGTTTTTGCGGTTGTTAAGACAAAATTAGAGATTAGTTTGCCTCTAGCAAGACATTTGAAAGATATTGTAGTATAATATACTAAGTGACATATAAATCCGAATACCCAGTTTAAATGGTTTTATTTTAATAAAATTTTGTATAAGTACTTAATGAAGTATAATAAGTAAATGATAAACATTTCAAAATGATTGCACTGCTTTAAAGCCCTTTGACCTTTAATAATGTGTGGATGCACCCTGATGTGCTACGCATTCTCCAACGCGCCTAGGCATGCTTCTGATCAGGTGGTCAATGTCCTCCTGTGGTATCTCATTCCCGGCAACCACCAATTCCTCTCGAAGTGCTTCTAGAGTCTGAGGAGGACGTTGCAAATTGAGCAATCTCCTACCCATCATATCCCACACGTGCTCAATTGGGGATAAGTCGGGATATCTTGGTGGCCATCGTAACAATGTGACATCATTATGTTGAAAGAAGTCTATTGTGACTCTCGCAACATGTGGTCGGGCATTATCTTGTTGGAAAGTTGGATCTGCCAGGGTGTCAAGATAGGGTAAAAGATGGGGTTCTAGAACTTCGTGGATATAACGCTGCGCGTTCATGTTACCTCTGATGAAGATTAAAGGTGACCTGGAACCATAAGCTGTAGCACCCCAAACCATAACTCCAACAGTGTGATGAACATGTCTTTCAACAAAAAACTGTGGATTCCTCCTTTCACCACGTCGCCTTCTAACCCTGGCACGACCATCGTGCATGCCTAAACAAAATCGAGACTCGTCACTAAAAACAATACTGTTCCATTCCTGATCCCAGAGTGACCGTTGTCTGCACCACTCAAGGCGATTACGTCGGTGTTCTCGAGTTAAAGGGAGGACCCAGTGTGGCCGGTATGAAAACAAGCCAACACTTTTCATTCGTCGGTAAACAGTTCGCATGCCAATAGGTCTTCCGTGTTCTGCAAACCATTCATTTGCAATGGACCTGGTAGTGGAGAAACAGTCCCTTAAGGCCAATAATCTTAGGCGGCGATCTTCACGGTCTGTTGTTCTACGGCGGCGTCCAGTGCCCCTTGCTCTTTGCGTACGGCCTTCTCGAAGCCATGCCTGACAACACCTAACCACAGTGTCTACACTTCTTTGCACTCTAACTGCAATTGCCCGAAAAGAAAGTCCAGCTTCCCGAAGTCCCACTATACGGCCCCTATCAAACTCACTAAGTTGACGAAATCGTACAGGTCTCCGTACTCTAGGCATCGTAACCGATCGTAAAGGATGTCAAGAACCAAAATCCGCCAACGTTGATTCTTTACTGCGGCTGAAATATTCATTTTTAGGGCGTTAGTGAATTAAAAAAAAGCAGTATAAAAACCGGGATGTCCAACTGATAAGGCTGAAAATTTTTTCACTTGTCATTTACAGTAAGATAAATACATTCACCAACTTTTATTAAAATAAAACCATTTAAACTGGGTGTTCGGATTTATATGTCACTTAGTATAATAAGGTTGTTTTTATCAATAGCTTGTAAAAGTTAGCAAAAACCGACATTAGATTTTGTGTGGCAGTATTTCAAGGGTATACAGGAAAATCACGGACTGTTTTCTTCCTTCACTCAAAGGGACAATTTGGATCTTTCCAAAAAGATTTGATAGTCAGATCCTCGTTGCGAATAGACTGAAACAGTCTTAAAAACCACGTAATTGAGAAATTTATTTGAAAATGTTCGTTTTGATAAGAAAGGCAGTTGGAGTAAGGACTCCAAATTAGCGACGCGTATTCCAATTCGGAACGTAATGTAAATGCCTTTGAAAAATCTGTGTACAACTACGTCCAACTGGCCCTGAAGATCCAGTATAGTTGACGTAAACCGAACAAAAACCTCTAAAATAGTGACAGTTGACCTACCATTCATGAAACCATGTCGATATTCTGATATATGATTGTTGTGGCTTGAGCACAGTTCGAGTCATAGCTCTAGCATAGCTTGAGCCATCGATTGGGTCACAGTTTGAGCATAGTTCGAGCCATAGCTGAGTCATAGCTCTAGTATAGCTTGAGCCACCAATTGGCTCACGGTTTGAGCCCTAGCTTGAGCAAAGCCTGAGTCATAGCTCTAGCATAGCTTGAGCCATCGATCGGGTCATAGTTTGAGCAAAGCCTGAGTCATAGCTTGAGCCATCGATTGGGTCATAAATTGAGCATAGCTTGAGCCCTGGCTTGAGCAAAGCCTGAGTCATAGCTCTAGCATAGCTTGAACCATCATTCGGTCATAGTTTAAACGTAGCTTGAGCCCTGGCTTGAACATAGTTCGAGCCATAGCTCTAGCATAGTTTGAGCCATCGATTGGGGACAAAAGCATAGCTTGAGTCGTAGCTCTAGCATAGATTGAGCCATCGTTTGGGTCATAGTTGGAGCATAGCTTGAACCGATCCCGGGCTTGAGCATAGTTCGAACCATAGCCTGAGTCATAGCTCTAGCATAGCTTGAGCCATCGATTGAGGACAAAAGCATAGCTTGAGTCGTAGCTCTATCATAGATTGAGCCATCGTTTGGGTCATAGTTGGAGCATAGCTTGAACCGATCCCGGGCTTGAGCATAGTTCGAACCATAGCCTGAGTCATAGCTCTAGCATAGCTTGAGCCAGCGATTGAGGACAAAAGCATAGCTTGAGTCATAGCTCTAGCATAGCATGTGCCATCGATTGGGTCATAGTTGGAGCAAAGCTTGAGCCCTGGCCTGAGCATAGCCTGAATCATAGCTCTAACATAGCTTGAGCGAAGCTTCAGCCCTGGCTTGAGCATAGTTTGAGCTATAGCTTGAGCATATCTCGAGCCATAGTGTGAGTATAGCTCAAGTTCTGCGTCAGAGTTTATAAATTGACCTCTAGCATTACATTGATGTAGATGGAACAGCTCACGTTATTGACGCAAATGGCTCGAAATAACTGTGGAATTTGTAATGACATATTTTAAAATTCGTTAATAATATAAAATATTGTTTCCAGATCTCGTATGTAGGCAGAGAAACCTCGGCAGCACCAGCAATAGGAGTGGGTAAAATACACCAACAGGAAGCAGAAGAAGTGACCACCAAACCGTTTTTTAATTAAACTCATGTATTTAAATAAAACTTTACAATATAATTAATGTGTCATACGTGATACAAAACTATTATCTTCCATATCGATTCCTTGCGATCCTGGTATCCTCGCTGGATTCTGGAGTAAAAAATGTGAATATTAATCCTTAGTTTTTTACGAGGGTTGTTTCAAAAATAACGTTCCCGACGTTGTAAATTTGCGGCGCGTGATGCTAGGCGAAATCCGGCAACACCGTCGTGTTTGTCTGCTACCCCACCACCGATCCCAACAAGAAGCGCCTATTGGTTCGAGACGGACGAGGAGTTTTCCAGTTTAACAAGTTTCCAAGCGGGTTGGTGGCGGACTTCCTCGAGTAGATTTCACGTCTAAAAAAATGCGTAGAAAAATAGCTTAAAGATCAACGTTTCCAATGGTGAATTTATTTTCCAAATAAAAAATTCCTTGTGCCTGAAAAAAAATGTGGGAACCTTATTTCTGAGACAACCCAACTTTGTACAGTAAAAAACTGTTTCTTCGTTAAATTACTAACCAAGTTCCTAGCTCTCTCCTCTAGTATACTATAAGCAAAGTGGTTCAACGTGATGGCCGCAGGTAATGCTACCCCTTGGAATCTATAAATTGGACCTCCTGGAATATCAGTATCCAGTTTTATGACATTTGATACTGTTATCCTACCCATATGCCGGGTATTTGGTATCATAGGCCCCTTTGAAATGTCAATATGTGGGCCTGCCTTATAAAGGGTTATCTGAAAGGCAAATTTTGAATACTTTACATAACAGAGAAAAAGTGATAAGGTGCAGCAGCATAAATTCCTTTTATCGAAACTTTTGTTTTTTTTTTGTTGTAGGCGGATGCCTAAATATTTGTATTACATAGTTTTGAAGACAAAATCAGGTAAGTGATTCCCCCATTTTCCACATATTGAGTAAACCGATGTTTGGTGTTTGCTATGACTCTTGCCAGCATAGCGTAATGTTGGTAATTTCTTCCTGAATGTTGGTCTTCAACTTCTTATAGGGTTCTAGGACGGTTCACATAAACATGAGCTTTAAAAAAAGTCCACAAAAAATAACAAAGGGCCAAATCGGGAGAGGGGGCAGGCCACTCCAAATCGCCCCCAACAGAATAAAAAAGGAAGTTATGCTGCCGTACCCTGTAGGATTACCTTTATGTACATTTCAAGATATATTTCAAACTGTTACGTCATAAAGTATTGCGCCTCACCTTATCGCCATTGTGTTCAGCGATGTCGGGAATTTGCTGAGTTTTATGGGGGTTGTTTTTGAAAATTTCTAGCGCTATATCCTTCGACACATCTAAGCATTCCAGGTGGTGTTCCTTTTGACAAAACTTGATCATGTTGATAGATAAAACTTTCAGTTCAGGTACTGTTGGTTTCCAGTCGTCTAGTGACAGCTGTACATCATATACAAAACTGCCAGATTTTACTGAAAGATTAACGTTCATGTATTTATATAACATTATATACAGGGTGTCCGCAAAGTTGGGGTTTTCCTTTTCAGAAACAACTACCCTTGAAATAACAAAGGTAATGTGTAGTGAAACGAGGGCGACCAAGTAAAAAAAAATAAAGGAAAAAGTACTCACTCTCCAGTTGACGAGAAGTGCTAAGTACGTCTCTGCCCGAAATCATACCGCTCCAACAGAAAATGAAATCAGCTGATGCGCTACCGAGCAGACGCAGGCAAACAAGGAAGGCAAAATGTTGCGTAAAAAGTCTAGGTATTGCATCCTGTCCAATCGATTTGGGAGAGTAAATGGTCCAATGAGCATGCCAGCCCAAACATTCACCGAAAATGTTTGTTGAAAATGTGTCCGACGGACAGCGTGCGGATTTTCTACTGACCAAACATGAGTGTTGCGAAAGTTATTCACCCCATTACGCGTGAACGTAGATTCGTCTGTCACCAATATGCACTTCAAAAAGTCCGGATTATTGTCATGTTGATGCAACAACCACTCACAAAACCGCACTCTTGCTGGAAAATCGTCAGGTTGAAGGACTTGTATACGTTGGACGTGAAACGGATACAGCCCCTCTTCACGCAGCGTTTGCCACACTTTAGTTTTTGATACTTGCACTTCTCTAGCCACGTGCTTGTTGAGGGATTCTCGTCTACGCGATTACCTCTACACGCGTGACCGTAACCGTCGGTTGAAGGTTGCATACTGACCTGACACACTGACCCCGACCCAGTTCTGTCGTCGGGTTGAGCTAGTGTCCTAGTACCACTCGGGGATGTCGCGGCTACAGGACGGTATTCAGATATTTTTGATGTTGCAGAGCCCTTTATCTCGGTTCCCTTAAGACATTGGTGTTTATGATACTAAGAAAAATTGCTTATGTTTTCATGATCTACACGTCGTGTAAAGGAAAACCCCAACTTTGCGGACACCCTTTATAGCAAAAGCCACAAACACGTACAAAATATGAACTCCTTTCTTGACCGACAATTAAGATAAAAAATAACTATACAGGCATCTTAGCTGGTTATATTAGAAAAATGTGCAGTTAGTAAAAGTGGACAGTTGGTAATGAGCAATGCAAATAGTGAAGTGAAACCCCCCTTACACAGAGACTTCTTTTAAATGGACAGTTTCTTATGGTCTTGACCGACTCTCATATAATTTGCATTGTATCAACTCTCTCTTGAACAGACGCGGACACGAAAAAATGTTATCCTAACCGGACAAAAAACAAAATAACTACTAACCATTTTTCTTGTAGTAGCATGTTGTCCAAAACACCTTTTTTGACTTTGTACTACTAATCAATTGTCCAATATCCTTATCTGTACAGGAACACAAAACGATAGGACAACAAACAAGCTATTTAACCCAGACAGTAAACTTACCATTAGGGCTTGGAAAGCTATGGAGCTGCACATCTACATCATCTTTGAAGGCATCCAAAATTACTGCTCCTAACAGAAAGCTACAACTTCTCCAAAAAGTTTTGTTAACAGCCGATGGGTTTGGCATGTGGTAGTGTAACAGTTCTAGTTTACATGAGGTCGGTAATGGCCTGTGCATATGCCATAAAGTGTCACCATTCAGTAACGCAACTACTGACTTATCTTTCACTTTGTCACCAAGATCTAACAGAATATGTAACAATTAGTAACATGGAAATGAAAAATGTTTCAAAATTGTATTCTGGTAGACCAAATTTACATGTGCACTTTCATGGAAAAAAAAATTAAATAAAATCAAGTGAATTGCAAGCAAACTTTATTGCAACTCAGTTGTTATGCTATCTAACAAGGGCTTCTTTGAGTGGAAATATTTGGAGATCAATTTGTAACAGCTCTAGTCTGCAAGGTCCGAGGTAGATGATCTCGGGTAGTCCAAAGCATATATGGCATTTTAATGCTTTTTTTTCAATTCCCTCCCTTTTGTTATAGGCATTGCACACTCCTCAAGGAACAGCCTAGCACAAAGTTGAAACGACTTGTTTATATTTGATTCTCCTAGGTAAAAACTTACGCTTTGCACAGTCATACGGTGTGGACAGGAACCTATTCATTATTAATGTTTCGTTAGCCGGTATCCCTTCATATTGCACTTCGATTTTTTCTATCCGTCCAACCGCTTCTTTTTGTCGCTTTTGCTCCGCATCGAATATATCATTTTGCCGTTTAGAATCTTCCGCTAGAGCTGAAAGACACCCTGCAAATGAGATGTTAGCACCACTACTTTCAGAAAATATATGACAATGGAACCTACTGTTACTTATTGCCTTAATGTATCGCTTCGAAGACATGCAAGTAAATTGTTTTCTTATAGAATTCATCTTTATATTTAAATAGATCGGAGTTAAAATGAAATATGTAGATTGAGGTTATCAAAAATGTAATTGACATAACCTCACAATTTAACCCACAAAACATAAAACACGGATTTAACTGACAACAATTGCTCATGTGCAGAGACGTCACTTACTTAAGGTGTATACACACTAGCGAATAAACAAGAACAATCCCCAAGGAACCTGTACAGGGTGTCCGAAAAATAGACGGGGATATTTTAGAGGGTGATTATTTGTTAGAAAATATGAAAAAAGTTTCTATAATATAAACACGGATCCGGAAATGCAGAGATTGCAATATATAAGGTGATAAATTTGAAAAATTATTTGTATTATTATCTTGAAACATATTTACTCCAATTTGGCATTATTATTTGTTTTATCTAGAGGCCAATTTTGACCTAAATAGATTCAAATTATTACGTCTAGTGGCGTTCCGGGGCGCACCTTAGCGAATATTATTGACAAAAATATGTATGCCACTACCTTTTTGGTAACTTTAATATTTGTTGTTTGATGAAGCATGTAAAAATCCAACTTGCCGGTTGTATTTTATCCTATCTCACTTCGTTATCGAGAAAAAAAAAAATAAGAACCATTTTATTGCATGTCACTGGACAAAATTAGTTTATCAATTGTTGCTAAAAAAATCACAGGCGCCTGAGCAATCAAAGAAATTTCTAAGAAAGAGTGTTATTGCAACTTTTCCAACAGGTACCATGACACTAAAACAAATGTTGGAAATATCCACCATTCATTTCAGTACACCTTCTCATGCACTCGACAATCATTGAACGACGAACTCGAGCAAAACTTCGAGATCTATTTCTTATTTCTTCGCAAGCATTTACGATTTTATTTCTTAATTCTTCTATTGTTTCTATGGGAGTAGCGTAAACCATCGTCTTAAGGTGTCCCCATGAATAAAAATCTATTGGATTTAAGTCAGTGGAGCGAGGTGGCCAGTGAATTGGTGCACCTCTTCCTACCCAATTTTCACTGAAACTGTTATTCAGTTGAGCTCCGACAGGTATACTAAAATGAGGATGTGCTTCATCGTGCATAAAAGTTATTTGGCTACGTACATTTAGAGGAACTTTTCTAGCAGTCCCCAACAATACCCATCCACCTATTTAAGGAAAATTGTTCCTGGTGGCGACTTTTTAATTAATTAAACCAATTTGCCAAATTTATCACTCATATCTTGAAAACCCCTGTATTTCCGGATTCATGCCTATCGAAACTTTTTCCATATTTTTTAATAAGGAATCACCCTCTAAAATATCTCCGTCTATTGTTCAAACACCCTGTATACGTTCGTTGGCGACTGTCATCGTTTGTTCGCTAGTGTGTATGCACCTTAAACCACATGAGCGGTTGTTGTCGGAAAATGGGTGTATTTTATGTTTTGTGCTATGTCATTTACATTTTTGATAACCTCAATCTATATCCTTCATTTTAACTTCGCTCGATTTAAATATAAAGATGAATTCTACGAGAAAACTATTTAAACGCCTTCATTTTAACTTCGATCGATTTAAATATAAAGATGAATTCTACGAGAAAACTATTTATACTCCTTCCAAGCGACACATTAAGGCAATAAGTAACAGTAGTGGTGCTAATATCTCTTTCAGCTCTAGCAGAAGAATCCAAACGGTAAAATGATATATTTGATGCTGAGCAAAAACGACAAAACATTTTTTTTAAGATATCATTACTTTTTTCAAATTTATCACCCTGTATCCTGAAAACTGCATTTTCTTATCCATGTTTATAGACACTTTTTTCATATTTTCTAACAAAGAATCACCCTCTAAAATATTCGATTCTTCTTCTATTTTTCGAACACCTTGTATAGTATATCAGGCGTACATACGAGGTCTGTAAATTAAGTAATGAAACTGGCAACGTAGCGTTCCATCTGGCAACACTGGAGGCTTCGCGCTTGGAGGGGAGATTCCGGAACATGTGATCCGACTTCAGTACAAGTTTGAACACACTCGAGTTATTTGGTTGTATTGTGATCTAAAAATGAAGGCATCAATTTCGAGCAACGGTGTGGTATCAGGTTTTGCATTAGACTTTGGTATAGTGCAAGGGAAACCTTCGCAAAACTTCTGCACGCCTACGGAGATAGTGTTTTGTCAAGAGCCCAGGTTTTTCGGTGCGCAAGGCCTGCATCTTCAAGAACCGACGAAAATATCGACAGAATCCGCGATATTGTGTGTTCAGATCATCGGTTGACAGCCAGAATGTTCTGGGAAGAGTTAAGTTTGATTCACACCATCGTTCATCAGATCGAGAACAAATGGGTGTTTGCATCACGATAATTCTCATTGTCACACAACAATGTCAATAAACGAGTTTTATAAAAACATCATGTAAAAAACCTATAAAACGTCAAAAAAAAACCTATAAGATGTCAACTTGCAGACTACGTAGTTTTTAGGGCGCAAACAGACATTCTACGTTTGCTCACAAGGATCGTTGTGAACGTCCATCTATGGAGGAATCACTCAACTAAACTACGTATTATTGGTTGCATAGTTTTGTGAGGCTGAGTGATTCGGGTCTGTAGTTTTTATCTCTGAGAAGAAAGTTGGTTGAATAGCAAGATCGCATCTGGATGATTATGTGTTATGGTCTGCATGTGTATAAAATCAGTGATATTTGCTGTGTGAGAAAATCATTACTGAATATGCCGGATATGACGGGTTATTTATGTGTTGTGCTTTCTGAAGAGAGGTTATGTTCAAAGTTATAAATTACGAAAAACTGAGGAGAATTACGGAAAATCATCATCGCGCCCGCGTTGTTGTAATTACTGTTAGAATGTAATTTCTAGAATGGATCAGAAAAAGTGGATTCGTAACTAGGTTTGAATCTCAATTAAGTGTATTTGAGACAAGAACCCAATGTAATTATCATCAACACATGCAACTTACAGCTTAGACCTGGAGGTTACTGGAGTAATGTCATCTCAGAAGCAGATTTTACATCACATCAGAGACAAAGATTGATAACAAGTCTCATGACGTTTAGGCAACACGTATAACTAGGCCCGTATCGTCAGTCGTCCCTACAATAGTAGGGCGCGTTTATGACCTCCTTGATTGTCATACTCCTTTCTCTCCTTCAAAAATTTCTAGATTACACTTGTCCCGTGTCAACGTCAGCGCTCTCCTATTGTGAAGATATGTTTTCTTTTTGAATTGTAGGAAATTTCAGGCTGATAAAACATGATATAACTTAAAAGCAAGCACAATTTGATGCAAATAGATGTTTGTGACATAACCTCAAAATAGAGCTCTGACACGGAGAAGTAGAAAACTATGACAATCAAGGAGACCATAAAGGCGCCCTACAATTGTAGGGACGACTGACGATACGGGCCTTAGTGCTAAGTTAACACCTTGTAGAATAACCTACATAATGTCAAAAAAAAAAACAGCGTAATGTCAAAAAATAATCGGCATAATGTCATTTTTCAAGATACGTGATATCCGTGCGCGACACTCGAAGACTGTAACCGACCAGCTGAAAATTATTCCAGTATCGGAGTTGCAGCACTGCTATGAGGAGTGTAAGAACCTTCTACAGCGCTGTATGGCTTAAGAAGAAAGTTGTTTTGAAGGCGATAATATTAAAATGTAATATTTCAATATAAATATTAAAAACAATCGATGGCTGGTATAGCGCGTAGCTCCGCTGCTACATTACCGCTTTAATGCCTGACGATAACCGAGAAAATCAGCAGACAAACTGGCATCATGGCATGGAAAGCCTGTTGCTTTCTCATGCAGGCACCAGCTGTGCCGGATAAGCGGGATTCAGAGCGGAAAGCGAAAAGCTCCGACGAATATGAAAGTGCGTCTACAAAATGGATGATTTGTGATACTACAATATGTCTACCCATTAGCAATTCTTCTGTAATTCCGATAAAATCATATACAGGGTGTTTTCAAAGTAGATCCATTCATTTTAACTGCTTGTAAGACTCGTCAAAAACTGAGTAGATTCCTCCCTATGCTTCCTTCAAGACGTGTGGCGAACAACATAGGCTTAAGTCCTAAGACATTTTCCAACATTGTTAAAGAATATAAAAAAACCAACAGTGACTCTGGGCGGCTAAAGCTTCAACAGTTTCTCACAATAAAACCGTACGACCGCGAAGCTTCACTCACCTTTTGAGCTATGTGGAGTGAAAAATTAATTTTATGGTCAAAAACTACACCCAAATCCTTAATTGAGTTTTGACGATTTATCCCCGATTTTATAATTAAATTTACAAGCAGAAGTTTTCCTGGAAAAGCTGACTAGACGCATTAAGAAATAAGTTATTCTCGTCACACGAAGCCGCTAGAGAATCAATATCACGCTGAAGTGCAACACAATCAGTCTCAGACTCAATAACCCTGAATAATTTCAAATCATCCGCAAAGAGCAGCTTTTTACAACTTAAATAATGCACAACATCATCAATAAATAAGGTAAACAATAAAGAACCAAGATTTGAACCCTGAGGCACTCCCGATTTAGTTATATAATGGTACGACTTGAACCCATTAAAAGTAACATATTGTTTCCTTTAATGACGATAACTTTGAATGAGTGCTGAAGCTGATGAATGGAATTCATAATAAAAAAGTTTATTCAAAAGTATGCCATGGTCCACCGTATCGAACGCTTTAGCAAAATCGGTATATACTACATCTAGTTGACCTTGCCGATCGACACATTCAATAGCGAACTGAGTGAAGATTATTAAATTATACTAAGTGACATATAAATCCGAACACCCAGTTTAAATGGTTTTATTTTAATAAAAGTTGGTGAATGTATTTATCTTACTGTAAATAACAAGTGAAAAAATTTTCAGCCTTATCAGTTGGACATTCCGGTTTTTATACTGCTTTTTTTTAATTCACTAACGCTCTAAAAATGAATATTTCAGCCGCAGTAAAGAATCAACGTTGGCGGATATTGGTTCTTGACATCCTTTACGATCGGTTACGATGCCTAGAGTACGGAGACCTGTACGATTTCGTCAACTTAGTGAGTTTGATAGGGGCCGTATAGTGGGACTTCGGGAAGCTGGACTTTCTTTTCGGGCAATTGCAGTTAGAGTGCAAAGAAGTGTAGACACTATGGTTAGGTGTTGTCAGGCATGGCATGTGCAATAGCAAGTAAGTGATGTGCTTCACCCATACCACATACAGCGTGTTCAACCTCTCCGGCCCCGGGATTATGAGCCCCGAGTTGCTTTTTGTCGCACAATGTTAGAAAGACACAGGAAAGATCCACAGTTCTTTGAAAAAATTTTATGGTCGGATGAGACCACATTTAAGAAAGATGGGTACATGAACCTGCATAACTTACACGAGTGGCACGTAGCAAACCCACATTTGATGAGAGAAGATAAATCTCAATATCGCTTCAAGATAAACCATTGGACAGGAATTTTAAATGGTAAAATAATCGGTCCGTTTGAGTTCCCAGAGACTTTGACTGCTGAAGTTTATTTGGATTTTTTGAAAAATCATGTGGTTTCAGCGTGATGGCTGCTCAGCGCACTATGCACTCTCAGTGAGAGAGTATCTCGATCAGAACTTTCCAGGCAGATGGATAAGGCGGTCTGGTACAATACCGTGGCCAGCCCGATCACCTGATTTGAATCCTTTAGATTTTTTTACTGGGGAACTGTAAAAGAAAAAGTGTATTTCAAGCTGATTCAAAATGTAGCTGAGCTACGGCAAACACTATTGGAAGCAGCTGAGTTTGTTAATAACCGTGGATTCGCTCGTTTAATAACCCGATCTTTTTTAAGCAGATGTCGAGCGTGTATTGCGGCTGAAGGAAAACAGTTTGAGCATTTGCTGTAAAGGTAAATCATCAGCAGCAGCATTTTGACGCCCACTGTTGTGCAAACAGTTATCCTTAAGGGTACTTGTGCGTTTTCATAATCGCTGTTTAATTAGGAAATTTTGAAAAATTTTCATCAGTTTTTCTTCAAATAAAAATTGTGCATAAGTTAACGAGTAATCTTCTAAGTGTTATACCATTTTGGAATCCTTATTAAATGCGCCAACTTTTAAGGTTACTTGCCAAACTCTCGTAGTACATTTTTTTCCTGAACGAGAAAAGTTGGCAGTAAGGTTGAGACACCAGTTTGAAGATGCATTATTCATCATTACATTGTAAAAATAAAAAAGTTAATATTTGTAGTAACAGGAGTTGACAGACTGACGTAGGGTGTGAAATTTCTATATTTTTTTCAAAGACCTATAATTTTCAAAACACATACATAACATTTTTTTAAATATTTTTCTGATAGCTGTTATGACTTTGCCTATCACCCGGTTTCGGCTTGACGTCGACTTCTGGGACACCCTGTATAATTCAGAGCTTCAGACCTGAAGGACCATGGCTTCTATCTTTTTGGCAACTTCTTCCCACGCTTTCCTGTTTTTGGTCTTTTCCTTCCAGTCTGTTACGCCAGCGCACTCTTCTTGCTCGGTTTTTTTGGGTTACATTTATTTGTTCATTACGGGAGATGCTTTCCTGGAATCCAGCAGCGATCCCCTTTATCTGGCAACTCCGCTTCCCCTGACAACTCTCCGGTTCTCCCTATGGCGCTCACCGGCAGCAAGCGGAAAACCAGCCGCCAGTTTTCCAGACGAACTCGCTAGGGAAACTGTACGTTTCTGCTGTGCCGTACTTGAACTGACTCTCATTACCGCGTTTTGAGTGAAAACTGTGTTGGACTCGCATGGCGGCTACATAATCGTGAGTATTTTACGTCACGACTGGTTTGCTTGAGGTTGCAGCGAGTTTCATACTTTCATTTGTTTATACCGGGTGTTTCAAATTAGACACTCTCCATTAGGAGGAAACGAAGTCACTCGAATGGGGAAGAAGTTGCGTATTTAAGGTAACTTAACAAAATGCAGCTTAGAAAATTTTGATACCCAAAGTACTTTCGGAGAGAGACAAAAAACCACGAATCTTTCCAAAATCGTTTAAATTTTTTCCTGACTTTATTCGTAATTGGACTTAATTTATAGATAGATAATTTATTTGCTAGAATTTAGATTTTAAGAAGTTTCAAAAAAATAAAATAATCCCGCAATAAGAGCTTAAAATACTAAACACTAGTTTTAAAAGGATTATAAAGTTACATAATTTTAATAATAACGGGTAAAGTTTAACTAAATCAGATAATCAGATTAAGTAATTTTCCCCCTTAATATTGCCATTTTTCCCCCACAAGATGGCATAATTAGAATTTCAATATGACGTTTCGTTTCTTGTTCTCCAGCATCAATTTTATTTTTTTTAAGGATGCCATATTGGATTATTCCGCAGATAAATAGACTTCTTAATTCTTATTTCAAAAATATATAATATGACATACATCCTTAGTTAATCTAGAAAAACAGAAGTTCCTAGGTAGGCCTTGAAATGAAAGGAAACAAATCGAACAGTGAGCAGTCTACAGAGAAAGGTCAGGCTTTGCCTGCAAAAAAAAGACATTTTAAACATCTGTTATGATTTATACTAAGTGACATATAAATCCGAACACCCAGTTTAAATGGTTTTATTTTAATAAAATTTTGTATAAGTACTTAATGAAGCATAATAAGTAAATGATAAAAATTTCAAAATGATTGCACTGCTTTAAAGCCCTTTGACCTTTAACAATGTGTGGATGCACCCTGATGTGCTACGCATTCTCCAACGCGCCTAGGCATGCTTCTGATCAGGTGGTCAATGTCCTCCTGTGGTATCTCATTCCAGGCAACCACCAACTTCTAGAGTCTGAGGAGGACGTTGCAAATTGAGCAATCTCCTACCCATCATATCCCACACGTGCTCAATTGGGGATAAGTCGGGAGATCTTGGTGGCCATGGTAACAATGTGACATCATTATGTTGAAAGAAGTATATTGTGACTCTTGCAACATGTGATCGGGCATTATCTTGTTGGAAAGTTGGATCTGCCAGGGTGTCAAGATAGGGTAAAAGATGGGGTTCTAGAACTTCGTGGATATAACGCTGCGCGTTCATGTTACCTCCGATGAAGATTAAAGGTGATCTGGAACCATAAGCTATAGCACCCCAAACCATAACTCCAACAGTGTCTTCCAACAAAAAACTGTGGATTCCTCCTTTCACCACTTCGCCTTCTAACCCTGGCACGACCATCGTGCATGCCTAAACAAAATCGAGACTCGTCACTAAAGACAATACTGTTCCATTCCTGATCCCAGAATGACCGTTGTCTGCACCACTCAAGGCGATTACGTCGGTGTTCTCGAGTTAAAGGGAGGACCCAGTGTGGCCGGTATGAAAACAAGCCAAAACTTCTCATTCGTCGGTAAACACTTCGCATGCCAATAGGTCTTCCGTGTTCTGCAAACCATTCATTTGCAATGGACCTGGTAGTGGAGAAACGGTCCCTTAAGGCCAATAATCTTAGGCGGCGATCTTCACGGTCTGTTGTTCTACGGCGGCGTCCAGTGCCCCTTGCTGTTTGCGTACGGCCTTCTTGAAGCCATGCCTGACAACACCTAACCACAGTGTCTACACTTCTTTGCACTCTAACTGCAATTGCCCGAAAAGAAAGTCCAGCTTCCCGAAGTCCCACTATACGGCCCCTATCAAACTCACTAAGTTGACGAAATCGTACAGGTCTCCGTACTCTAGGCATCGTAACCGATCGTAAAGGATGTCAAGAACCAAAATCCGCCAACGTTGATTCTTTACTGCGGCTGAAATATTCATTTTTAGAGCGTTAGTGAATTAAAAAAAGCAGTATAATAACCGGAATGTCCAACTGATAAGGCTGAAATTTTTTTCACTTGTTATTTACAGTAAGATAAATACATTCACCAACTTTTATTAAAATAAAACCATTTAAACTGGGTGTTCGGATTTATATGTCACTTAGTATATCCTCAACTGTTTCCTCATTTAACCAATACTGACACTATAATTGCATACCATACTTATATGCTTTCCCATATTTGTCTTGTATATCTAAATCAAATATTTAGCTTCTGCCTCTTTTGTGGGCAGTTGTCATTCTGTAGCTCCCTGATTCTAAACCTGCCATGAATGTCAATTTACCACGGTTCACTTTAGTGGTCATAAATACTCTTTTTTTCCAACCATCTTTATTTGCTACTGCTGTGAAAACTAACGTGGCGAAAGGCTTAACGATTCTTTATTATTGTTGCACTGAAAACTCTCTGTGGTGACGTACTCGCCAAACATCGTGAAAAGAAGTGTGTACAATTCTTTCGAGAGCTATGAGGCACTAAAGGATAGTCGAACATGCTTGTCAACACTTTTTAGTGGCTGTAGACTGAAAAATTGTTATGAATAATTCTGAATTATAACAGAAACATAATTTTTTGGCACCAGGAACTCGTTCAGTTAGCCAAAAACCGAAGTTAATGTCTCGTAATCAAATTTCTAGGAATTCTGCCATTCAGAACCTGCATAAAATATATTGAGGGATATTTATGTTTTTCCGAAATTATGCAGATGTCATTAATTCTTTATGGCTTGTATACAAATCATTCCAAATATAAGCACTCGGTAGGTAGAAATAATTTACAATTTTTTTTAATGCTCTTTTACCGTGAACACCATACCATAAGCAAATGTACTCAATGATATTAGAAGTGTTACGACCAGAAAAAATAATTTCCTCAACTTGTTTCTTGGGAATATGATGACTATATTTAAAGCATGCCGTGCCAACAATGTCAACGTTTTATCTCTGTTTTTGTTAACCTTTCTTAAAATTGTATCTCTTAGTTTTTGTGAAGAAAGCTGTTTCTGAGAGCTGAGTAGTACATATATTTTTAGTTATTGGACTTAAGTTAACTGACTACTCACAAAACATATACACTGAAGAAGGTTTAATTCCATGCTATTCAATGGCAACACGGTGACTTTTGTGGTTGTCAGCGGCCATTTTTTGAGGGTGCGACACGGTTGCCAGATTGTGCATTATACCCCGCATCGTTGCCAGCTCTACAAATAAATCTGAGATTGCTATACTTTTATATATAGAAATTTAGTGGGGTATGGGAGATCTTATGACAGCATGTGTTATTAACATTTTGCGCTATCTTGACGAATAAATGCTTTTTTGTATATTAAAATAGCAACGTCAATAACACAAGCTGTTATAAGATCACTCATATCTGCTTACTAATCTGGAAAGGTTCAGAAGAAAAACATATACTTCAAATACCTAAATAAAAAATTGAACTGTGTTGAAGTTAGTACAATTCAGATTTCTTTTTTTTTATTAGAACAATAATATTATTGTCCATGGTTACTGACAGGAATTTTTCTCAGGGGTGCTGATCATCATCAAGACATAACTTATTGTGAAATTGTACCTGCCTCCAAAATTTTTTGATGTCAAAGTAGATTCACAAAAGAGACCACAGTATTTCTTATGATTGATTCCGTCAATTGGTCACAAAGTACAGGATGTTAGTTTTATACATATATATACAGAAAACTAACACCCTGTATTTTGTGACCGGAACGAATTGCTCGTTTAAACATATTAGATTTAAAGCCATAGGGTTTTGTATTTACCATATATATTGCCATACTTTGTATTTATGTAGCTTAATAAGAGAATCTTTAGCAGAAGCCATGGAAAGTTTTTATTTTTAGGCAACCTGTAAACCTGCAGAAAAAACACAAATTATACAGTCAGTTTCAAATATTAAAAAAGAGGGAGAAGATAAAATAAAACCCGGTAATGAATCACAATAGCAATGCGAAATTAATGAAAATACAGATAAACAGAGAGTAAATAATTGAAATAAATCTGCTTACGTAATACTTAAACGGCCCCATTTTTATTTTTTGAAGTTCAGCTCTTTGGACTTTTTCTCGTATGTTTCTGCTTATTTTATACTACACCTTGTGTCATTTAGAAATAAGTTCAATTTTTCTTGACATCTAGACATCTAGAAGGCATAATGCAGTTAAAGTAATTGAATTAAGATGTATGTATCACCTGGATACTAATCATACACGTAATCCAATTTCCTAATATGTAACTTATAAGTACCTTGCATGTAAATGCACGGACATATACGAGGACGGTCCGAAAAGTACTGAGCCTAGGAAATAGAAACAAAAATTTTGGAAAAGTGGCGATTTATTTCGAAACATATCCTCTCAGCTGGATACGCTTGACTCAGTGATGCTAAAATTTCTTTAACTGTAACAGCTTAGACCTCGAATAATGCCATCTCTGAAACATATGTTAAATCATATCAGACCCAAACATTGATCGCTGAAAAAACCTATGAAATGTAAAAAAACGACAAAATGTCACTTTCCAAGAAACGTAATACCCGTGCCGGTATAGAAAACAAATGACTATCCGATAGTTTCAAGGCCTACCTAAGAAATTGCTTTTTTAAAAATAACTAATGTTTGGCAATGTCCATGTATAACATATTATACATCTTTGGAATCAGAATTAAAGACTCTATTCACCTGAGCAAAAATCCAATATGGCTTCTATAAGAAAAAATAAAGTTGATGCTCGAAGACAAGAGACGAGTGAATGAATATATACTAAGTGACATATAAATCCGAACACCCAGTTTAAATGGTTTTATTTTAATAAAAGTTGGTGAATGTATTTATCTTACTGTAAATAACAAGTGAAAAAATTTTCAGCCTTATCAGTTGGACATTCCGGTTTTTATACTGCTTTTTTTTTTAATTCACTAACGCTCTAAAAATGAATATTTCAGCCGCAGTAAAGAATCAACGTTGGCGGATTTTGGTTCTTGACATCCTTTACGATCGGTTGCGATGCCTAGAGTATGGAGACGTGTACGATTTCGTCAACTTAGTGAGTTTGATATCGGCCGTATAGTGGGACTTCGGGAAGCTGGACTTTCTTTTCGGGCAATTGCAGTTAGAGTGCAAAGAAGTGTAGACACTGTGGTTAGGTGTTGTCAGGCATGGCTTCGAGAAGGCCGTACGCAAAGAGCAAGGGGCACTGGACGCCGCCGTAGAACAACAGACAGTGAAGATCGCCGCCTAAGATTATTGGCCTTAAGGGACCGTTTCTCCACTACCAGGTCCATTGCAAATGAATGGTTTGCAGAACACGGAAGACCTATTGCCATGCGAAGTGTTTACCGACGAATGAGAAGTTTTGGCTTGTTTTCATACCGGCCACACTGGGTCCTCCCTTTAACTCGAGAACACCGACGTAATCGCCTTGAGTGGTGCAGACAACGGTCACTCTGGGATCAGGAATGGAACAGTATTGTCTTTAGTGACGAGTCTCGATTTTGTTTAGGCATACACGATGGTCGTGCCAGGGTTAGAAGGCGACGTGGTGAAAGGAGGAATCCACAGTTTTTTGTTGAAAGACATGTTCATCACACTGTTGGAGTTATGGTTTGGGGTGCTATAGCTTATGGTTCCAGGTCGCCTTTAATCTTCATCAGAGGTAACATGAACGCGCAGCGTTATATCCACGAAGTTCTAGAACCCCATCTTTTACCCTATCTTGACACCCTGGAAGATCCAACTTTCCAACAAGATAGTACCCGACCACATGTTGCAAGAGTCACAATAGACTTCTTTCAACATAAGGATGTCACATTGTTACCATGGCCATCAAGATCTCCCGACTTATCCCCAATTGAGCACGTGTGGGATATGATGGGTAGGAGATTGCTCAATTTGCAACGTCCTCCTCAGACTCTAGAAGAACTTCGAGAGGAGTTGGTGGTTGCCTGGAATGAGATACCACAGGAGGACATTGACCACCTGATCAGAAGCATGCCTAGGCGCGTTGGAGAATGCGTAGTACATCAGGGTGCATCCACACATTATTAAATTTCAAAGGGCTTTAAAGCAGTACAATCATTTTGAAATTTTTATCATTTACTTATTATATTACTTAATGAAGTACTTATACAAAATTTTATTAAAATAAAACCATTTAAACTGGGTGTTCGGATTTATGCATATGTCACTTAGTGTACATCTTTGGAATCAGAATTAAAGACTCTATTCACCTGAGCAAAAATCCAATACGGCTTCTATAAGAAAAAATCAAGTTGATGCTCGACGACAAGAGACGAGTGAATGAATATAGGTAGGTACGGTGTATATAGCCAATATTTTGATGCTAGGCATCAGTTATCCCACATACGTGCGTCACAGAAATTCTGGCTGAAAGAGAAAACGTAATTTTCATTACCTCACGGAATCCGCTTGAATTAAAATACCGAGCGCGAATGTAATGCAAACTTGAACCAGATTTACCGACGGGAAGCGGCTCTGCCCGAAATATAATCCTTTAGAAAGTTTATTTCTTCAATTTCATATTTCGGTCGTCCTCGTTGCTAAAAAAAGAGCTGTAAAAATCTCGTACGCTAACACTCTCATATTAAATAAATAAACTATAAATATATTTGTAGTTGCATGTTTGAACCTTTGAGCTAGAAAGTATTTTAACTCATATTGGATTAAGATCTGACTAGCGGGACTTAAATCAGGTGACGTTGGTGGCGAGTTGACATCACCAAACCGAGAAATTGAACGTCCCGGAAAAATTGTTCGCAAACTGTTGTTTCCCTAGCTGTGCGATAGGTTGCTCCGTCCTGCTGGAACCACATGTTTTGCAGGTTAAATTGTTGGATTTGAGGATCGTGTAGCGCTCCACGATGAATTGGACACATGTGCTTTAAACAACTACTACGGCGCCATCTACTGAATTGCGTGTATCAAAAATAGCGCGCAATTCGAATCAGTCAGTTATATATTGGCCGCCCTGTATATTCCCACTTTAAATCTGTCATTCTTAAGGCTGCGATCCAAGCGCTTCCGTATATTTATACTGCCAATCTAAACCCAAGTTAAACACGTATTGTAATCAGTTCTGTCGATCAGATGAGCATGTAAATAGTTCCTAAAACATTGTTTGTTTAAGTAAGTGTTGAAATGCAAGGTCCAGTATCAATATTCGTTATAGTTTGAGCGACACGCACATGTAATTCAACGACCTTTGAGGCTTCGAGGTATGTGAGTTTTTGAAGGTAGCCTGACATATAAATTAACGTCATTTGTAGGTTTGAAGGAAATAGCCTTGATTTATTAAGGGCCGATTTCACCAACATTAATATTATGGATGAATATCACGGCAGCAACTGATGATTTGGGCATGTCTGGTAACAACGTATGAAGTGAAACTCGCTAACTTCACAAATTTGAAGATTTTGTACAATTTTTTTGAAAATGATGAAAGATATGTCTGATTTGGCAGGATAATGTCGCAGCCAAATGATAGTCACTCTTTCTGACACAGTCCAGATCGAAAGATGACGATACTCGTGAAATGTATTGATACTTCTAAATATAGGATCCTATCGAACATCCTTACTGTCAAGTTGTATAACCCGAGATACCGGACGGAGCTATTTTACGGCGTTGCGGAAATAATTTTAAATTTTCATTCGCATTTTTTCAAGTATTGTGCAACGATTTTGGGAAAAATTCCACGAATACTCTTATAAAGCATAGTAAAGTATATTTCAACAGTTGGTGGAGCTTACTCCACTGGAACCAGGGGGGGTGAAACGGGATATTAATGCACAATCTGGCAACCGCGTCGCACCCTCTCAAAATGGCCGCTGACAACCACACAAGTCACCGTGTTGTCATTGAATAGCATGGAATTAAACCTTCTTCAGAGTATATGTTTTGTGACTGGGACCAAGGGTTGACAGATCCCACACATGTGTCACTCGATGAGTCTTGAAATGCAATAATCAGCTGTATTCAAATTATGTCTAATATAAATATATAGAATGTGTACTCGTGAAAAAAGAAAAATATGGCAAATTTGTAGTTTTCTTGGAGGTTTGCTGGTAGCTTTAATGCATCTGTTTGGGAATTTCTTAATCGCTGTGAATATAGTGTGGATGTTTATTCACTTCCTGAACAACGAAAAATATTCAACTTTATGGATGTATGGATATCAAAAAACCTGAATGGTTTTTTGGGAATATCAATCTAAGGTGCCATAATGGTTCTGATGAACGGCAAGTAAATGAATGAATGTTTGAAAACGAGAGCATGTCATCAAGTAGGTGCTTAATGGCTATCTGCAAGAGGTTTATAGGGAAAAAACACCCAGTATCGCATATCAGTTGAAGAAAATAATATAAACATGAATAAAAAATCAGTAGTAATTAAAACATGAATTTAATTCAAAAATCAAACATTTCTTTAAAGTATGACTGAATTATACGTAATTTCTTAATATTCAATAAGCTGGTGATGTTTCAATGACAAGATGTCATCTCACACTTTGACAGTATTTTGTTTTCAACATTTCATAGCTATTGGTTGCTAAAATTTGTTAATTGGAAGTTTAAGTTGTATTTAACGGACTGTTACCCTATAGGTGAAGAATAAGGGACTGTTGATTTGACAACCTTGGTGAAACCCACCCTTAGTCAGACAATGAAACCAAATGCAGGCCTTGTTGTTTCGGATTTTAAACGTCCTTCAGAATGAAGTTATTTTGAGGATGACAATAGAAAATTGTAATTATATTTGAATGAAAAAATAAAAAAAAGAGTCTCATCAGTTAATTTACAGACCTCAGAAGCAAAATAAAAAATACATTTTTAAACAACTTTTGTCACATTTAAATTTTAATTATGCCCTCGAATAAATTCAGGAAAAAAAAATAAAATGAATCTGAGATAAATGTGGTATGCAAAACAAATAAATAATTTCAAGACCTACCTAGCAAATTCTGATTTTTTTTAATAATTAAGTTTCGAAAATGGCGTTTGATACACTTTTGGACTCAGATTTAAAAATGTTATCCATCTGTGCAAAAATCAAATATGGCGTGCATAAGAAAAAATAAAGTTGATGCTGAAGGTCAAGAGTTGGAACGTCGAATTGAAATTCTCATTAGGCCATCTTGTAGAGGAGCAAAAGTGGAAATGCTAATGTACCTTTTATTTTGAAACTACATTACAAATAATGTCAGGAAAAAATTAAAAGGATTTTGGGAAAAATCGTTTTCAATCGTCTTTCTACGGAAGTTATTTGAATTTTTTCTAGCGGCATCTTATTGATTACCTAAATACGCAACGTTGCCCCCGTTCAAGCCATTTCGAATCTCTCACAGTTTCCGAGATCCCAATGATGAAGGTCGAATTTGAAACACCCTGTATATACGCCAAAAAGCATCACATTCAGCCGATTTGGCGTGAAAAAGAAACAACCATATACATTTCCACATTTATAATATTAGTAGGGATAAGTAGGGATAGATATTTGCAATCTTTAGCCCAGAAATAAACTGGAGGACAGCTATGCGACATGGAAAATTTTACTTAAATTCAAATCTCGATACCTTTGGAACGAAAAGAGATATCGAGTTACGGTATTCGGGAGGTTTTAGTCAAGAGTTCCCCAAACTTTTTTGTGTCGTAGACCCCTTGCCATGTTTTTTCGTGTTGGGTAGACCCCCTACTTACCTGATATTGATTTCCTGTAAATTTCTAACTGTAGTGAAGTCTAGTGTTAAAAACTTAAAGTAAAAACACATGTTAATTTATACATTTATTAATTGAATTTAAATTAAAACTAGTCAAAATAAAATTTTGTATCTGTTATGTAAAATATACGTAACATTAAATAAACAGGTGTCTGATCAATAAGTGCCCGCATTGGGAATAAGTGCCCGCATTGAAAAAAAAAATAAGAGGGATAAAATAAAAAAAAAGTGAAAAATAATAAAAAAAAGTTTTTTACTGAAAGTAGTACAATAGGCGAGTTAGTTTATTAATTATAACATAAATGTATGTTCTACAATAATTTCACGGTTAGATTGATTAAATTCCGCTTCTTATACGTTTAAGTTATCTAAAAATAGGCAAAAAATTAACGAACTTTAGTGTGTACCTATCCTTGAATTTTCAGAAAAATTAAAGAAAAAAATATTTTCTATAAAGGGGGGTTATTTGAAAAAATCAATGCGGGCACTTATTCCCAATGCGGGCATTTATTGGTCAGACACCAATAAACATAAAATAAATTATAAATAAAATAACATAAGCAATAAGTCAATATTTTTAGTGAGAAGGATGAACCTGATGCTTTAATAATAAATTATCAACATTTGGCGTCAATTTTGTAAGGGTTAATCTTAAATCTCCTCGGCTAATGATGTCCAGCTTGTTTCTTTTTTTCGTTAGGAGATTGGTAACAGCGCTGAACCCCCTTTCCACTAGGTATGACGATGGAAAGGAAATTAAAAATTTCCTCGCTATATTCCATAATACGGGATAAGTAACGGGTATGTTCTTTTGCAGCCAGAATTGCTGATATCCGTTTTTAAACTGAACCTTAAGTTCTTCGTTTGTACTTAGTTCAGTCAGTTCCTCTTGTATTATGACATTCGTTTCTTCTATGTCACCTTATGGATTAATTATCCACGGTGGTATTACCATAGTCAAAATATCCTCAAACCTAGATTCAAAATCTGAATAGAGGACATTTAAATGTTGAACGTAAGTTGAAACGTCGTCTTCCTGGCCGCTTGTCTGTGACAAATTGGGGAACTGAGAAAATTCGCCCCGTCCAATATTTTGCTTCATTAGTTTAACTCTGGCAAGAAACGCTGATAAGGACTTTGTTTAAATCAAATTTAAACTGTTGCCTTGTAATTGCAAATTAACCATATTAAATTTTGTAAACAAATCTGTTAAATAGGCGATGTCTGTTTTCCTCTTCATTAAATTTTCTTTTAAAATGTTATCTTTAGTATCCAGAAATTCTAAAATAATCTCAAAAAGTGCAAAAAATCTTGTCAAACATAAGCCTTTCGACAGCCAGCGTACTTCAGTGTGAAGGAGTAATTGATGAAAGTGTTCGTCATTTTCTTCACACAACTGCGCAAATAACCGCATATTCAACGCGTTGCTTCGGATTCGGTTTACTGCATCAATGACTAAATGAAGTGATTCATGCAATCTAACACTCAAATTTTTAACAACTAAATGTTGTCGATGGATGACGCAATGTATTGCTAACACTCCTGCCACATTTTGTTTTAAATAGCTTATAAATCCACGATAACGTCCAACCATGGCAGGTGCTCCATCTGTAGCTACTGATATTATATTTGATAAAGGAATTGCTTTTTCAATGAAGTAATCCATCAAAACATGAAATATTGATTCACCTTTAGTGTCGGTTATCAAAGTTCTTGCGAAGAGCAGTTCTTCGTAGATTTCTTGATTCATAATAAAACATATGCCAATAATAATGCTGCATTATCAGGTAAAGTTGACTCGTCCAGTTGTATAGAGAAATGGGTCGTTTGCAAATAATTACATAAGAAGCTTTCAATATCAGAACTCATTTCATCAATACGTCTTTCAACAGTATTGTTGCTTACGGGAATTCTTTTAATGATAACAGATGCAGGTTTGTGTAAAACAGTTTTTAAAACCTCTTCAACGGCTGGCAAAATTAACTTCTCTCCGATAGTATGCGGTTTTCCGAATTTTGCTATAAGTAACGAGATATTGTAAGACGCCCGCAAACTATCATCATTTCTTTGTGACGTCGAAGCGAACATTATGTCCAGTGTAGGTCTCTTCTGAAATTTATCTTTTGAGTGTTTGAAAGTATTTCAAATATTTCTCTGTTTTATCAGGGTGGCATCTTCTCAGATGATCTTGCAGTTTAGATGGTTTCATAGCGTCATTGCCCAAAATTTTGTTGCATAAAAGGCACATAGGCGATTGTTTGTCCGGCAATGATGGAGTGAAGCCAAATTTCAAATAATCAACACTGTACTGTCTACATTTCTTTTTAGATTCGGACATAGCATCAGTCATCTGTGGGCAAAAGTAAATTATTTAAATAAGACAGAAAATCCAGCAGCTGTATATTAAAAATATTTTTTGATTTTTCCGAAAACATTCCATAATTCGAACATCTTCTTGCAACAATTAGCTCGAATCACGGAGATTGCACTGTAATTATATTACCGATTGCTAAAACTTTCAAAAAGAAACTATTGAGGAGTACTCGTGTAATTTTGCTAACTGCGATTACAAAACAAAAATTTAATAAAAAATAATGTACCTACTTTTCTCCAGCACTCTCAAACAAAATAACACTGACTCACTATAATTTTTGTGATATACTATCTGTTTAAATTTTTTAAAATATTTTCTTAGCACTTTCCTTTTCAAGATTCAGGAAACGAATAAACGTATTTGTCCCACATTCGTATTTATAGAGTGACGAATTGAACAAGTCAGTGCAAGGTAGCGAAGCTCTGAGACTGCGACCCTCAGGTTTTTACAAGTTCACTTACACAATTTTCTAAACATATATAATAAATTTTTTACTTCATAGGTACTTTTATAAATAATGTATATGTTTTGATATTATAAGATTTAAGTAAATAGGTACTATCAGTGTATGTGTTGAGATCCACTATCGTGGACCCCCATATTCATTTCATGGACCCCCAAATTTTTTTCGCTGACGTAGACCCTTGCAGGTTGTCATAGACCCCTAGGGGTTGATATAGACCACTTTGGGAATCAATGTTCTGGAGAGGACGTACAGGGTCGATCAATGTATTTTTGTTATTTATACACTTATATAGGGGAAGCAAAGGAGGTCAGGTTTGTTAGCAAAGTTTGGGGCTATGTCAGATTCTCAATTTTTGACCTTGGAAAATTTTCTATGCATTTTTTTGAACTTTGACTATCCCAAAGGAAAGTAAATTCTCAAATTCTTTGAAAGTTGGCTATAACCCATACTATCGAATTTTAAAAAAAGTGTTACATTCATTCCTAAAAACGGGAATTTACAAAATTTACGGAAGCTTCTATGATTTTTACACCGTTTTAAACTATGTTGTGAGCCACCAGAATTGACTTCGCGAGCTACCGGTAGCTCGCGATCGACATGTTGGTCGCCACTGTCCCATATCAACAAAGAAAATTGCATATCGTATCATCCTTCGTTATCCACGACAGTACACACACAGTGATAGAAATTAGTAAACATGATGTTCGATACCAACATGAAATAATTGATTGCGATATGTTTACCTGATCGATACCCGCCTGTTGATTGTGCCTGTCGTTAATTTAGATAGCGTCGAAAAGCACAACCGTATGCGCTGTATGGCGTTAATAAAGGCCAGCTCTATCTCAGCACCTAATTAATGTAGAGCTGCAGGGTAAAGAAAAATGTAAAAAAGTGGCTAGGAGAAGCGACAGTGAATTATGCTAATTTTAACCATAAGACGCGTAACCGCTGGCATGTCCTCTCTTTTCCGTTGCAACGCCAATCATCTGAAAAGCCACAACTACAAACTGATGAAAGAGGTGTTTCGAATTTTTCCTGTCTAAGCGAGTGCTTGGGACCTGGAACAGGCTGCCCTACGACGATGTTAAAGAGTCTACAGTTAACGGGTTCAAGAAAAGTTTCGACAGATGGATGCACGACGAACTCTAAAGTGTATCTAACGAAGCTACAAAGTAATCGTAAACAGTGGCGTGATCGGTAGCCATGGCGCTCTGTCGGCCTCTTCCTGATTGGCTTGTAGCGACGAGCCTCCAGACAAAGTCGCACGGTTGCCACGCTCGGCTAGTTTTCGCCAGAGTGGTTGATCACATTCGCATGGATCACAAATCAATCTGTTGGTGCAATACGTGCAATAACTGTTGTAAAGGACATTATATAACAATAAATGGCATCACAAAGGTATATTCCAATTTGATCTGCAGCAAATTATGAACGGCATATACGGAGATGCGAAAACAAGCTCAAAAAGGTGAAGAAAATTTTTGTGCAATCTTTATAGTTAAATTTTTTCTAAGAGATAGCATCAGTGAGGGAATTTTTTTCTATTGTCTTATTTTTCGCATTAATGCGATGTCGAGGTATGTGGCCCTATCGCAATTGAAAATAAGGTTTCGATAATCCTTCCATAAAGTTTCGATGAGTACATCTGAAATAACCTTGAGATATTCTTCAGGGAAATACAAAAATCTCCTTTTGTGTTTTTTGTGCAGATTTATCTATTAAAATCCTATCCGCAATCTATTTTCCGTGCACACACCTTCAACCGAATGTATGCCATATATGATATTACCGTTTCCAACTTTCACCAAGGTTAATAGGAACCATAACAGCTCCCTACCCTTCCCCCCTATAAGAATATCGATTTGTAGCCTCACATTTCAAGGTTAGACTTCTTGTAATGTTTCTGTTCAACATTCGGCGATTTCTGACAATTTTCCCAATAAAACATGATCATTGTGACATTAAGCCTGGCAACCCTGCATAGTAGAGGGAACTCTCAGCGTCACGTTGATGGTTCGTCACCACGCACAGGATTGTAATCAGTTACGGATACCCGTTTATGAGCGCGAACGTTTTATGCACGTCTTGACTTGATTTTTCTTGCGGAAATTTAATATTAGTCTAAAATGTCTGACACAGATACAGCTGATGAAGTGGTTGAAATCAGCTTAACGCCACCCAGCAAAAGGGCTAAAAAGCTTCATCTTAGCGCAGGTGAAAAACAAATTATTCTAAATATCTACAAGAACCAGATGCAAGAGAATAGTGGATTGGCTATAGAAAATATCGTATGTAAGGTTGCTGAAACTTCTGGAGTAGGTCGATCAAGTGTTTACAAAATCTTGAAGGAATATAGTCAAAATCACTCACTATCTGAGCCAAAAACATATCCAGCGAGAAAAAAAATCATCGAAAAAATAGATGACTTTGACAAAAGTGCCATTAGAACATCACTTTTTCTTCAGGAATGAAATACCTACAATAGATAAAATATTGAAGCAAGTGAATGATGATGAGGACCTGGCAAATTTTAAAAGATCTACGTTCCATAAGCTGTTGAAAGAACTAGACTTTCGATTTTTGAAAAGAGGAAGGAATAGTTTATTGATAGAAAAGGAGGAAATTGTTATCTGGAGGAGAGAATACCTTAGAAAAATTAGGCAATTCCGCGCTGAAGGAAGAAAAATTTATTATTTAGACGAAATATGGGTGAACGCGGGGCATACGCAGGGAAAGGTTTGGGTAGACAGATCTGTGAGGTCCTCAAGGCAGGCTTTTTTAGATGGCCTTTCGACGGGATTGAAAAATCCTGCAGGTAAGTTTCGAAGTATATGAACTTTTTTGGATGCAGATAATTCATTTTCTGATCGAATTAATGATTTGGAAGCTCCGAACTCAGTTTTGCTATCTCATCCAAGTTTCTGAGTATTTCCTTCACCCAAAAACTAATCTAAGACCCTATCCTACACTAACCTAAAAAGAGTAAGTTGCTTAATTTCGTCATTTAGTGCGCTCGCTGAGAAGTAAAATAACTAATTACTTTCAGGCAAGGGAAAACGCCTGATCATTTGCCACATAGGTAGCGTAGATGGATTTGTTCCTGAAGCATTGTGGGCATTTGAATCCAAAAAAACTGGAGACTATTACGAAGAAATGGATGGTAACTCATTTGAAAATTGGTTCAAAAAAATTTTGCCGACACTTGATGATAACGCAATTATTGTGATGGATAATGCCCCGTACCACTCCAGAAAATTGG